GAGATGCTTTGTTCCAAATCGCCTCAAGTAAAATTAATATTCGATTTCACTCACTAATTTTTTTGCCGATCACTCCGAGCTACTAACATTTTAAATTTTCATGCAAGAGAGTTAGGGACAGACAAAATATGATCAGAAAAAACTCAAGACAATGCTAGTTCCGTGCCAAGCTCAGGGAGTGTATGATTCTATTGGAAGTTTTAGCATTCAATAATTTATATAATTAATCTTCCTGATCGGATAAGAATTTACCCACGCTAGTCATGAATAGTAACAAATCAATTAGGGTGAAATTGTCGTACACAAATTGAAAATCATTTGTGTTAATAAATACTGGCAAAATCTTAAACTAATCGTAATTTATGCTTGTATGAACGGTAGTTGTGCACTATGAACGAGAGATTAACTGTTGGGGGCACGTGTGCACCTTACTACATAGGCATCAAATGGCCATGCATTCTGTATGAGGCCATTGATGTACGTGCGGATGAGGTGCCGATGTAAACGGTGCAACCGCCTGACATCATCTATGCTTGCAGTGCCTTGTTGGAGGGGCGCCACTGCAGTGCCGTGCGTGAAGCAGAGCAGTCATGTTCATTTCATAGTGGAACATCAGATGAAACTTACGAAGAGCGGTGTGAAGTTTTTGTTTTTAATCAATAAAGTTACGTTCTAGTTATGACAACGATTGAAATGCGCTTTTAAACTCGGCATGGGTCACGTGACCTTGCGTGATGAGGAAGGAACGAAGGGTCGCGGCAAAACCTGTGCATCTGCCGAACTTTGTTTACTCATGTAATAGCTCACCGCACTTACCATGGCTCTTTATAGGACTTGTGCTTCCCATCGAGCGCACGGCACAATTTAAACTATGAAAAGCTCTGAACTTCAAATTAACTGAAAGTTTCCTATAACATAATTTAACTGTTCATAATTACGCTTCAATATTCACACCGATTAACAGTAGCAATTTATTCCTTACTGACGGCGAGTGCTTGTTTCGTATGTGTTTGAGTAAAGAATTTTTTTTTCTGTTGAACATTTCATCAGTGCTAACCTTCAACTTCTTTCTTAAGATGTAAGTGAAAATAAACTTTATAGAAATTAAACTGTTTATCAAAGAATCAAGCCAATTCCGATTTCGGTGATGTTCATGTCAAAGCACGATCTAGAGCCTGCGCAGTCCAGACTCTCCAGTCAGCAAGATGCCGCGGTTTTGAGGCTCTGTTAAGATATTAAACACATGTACAAAATAAAATACTTAAAAAAAACTTTTTAAAAAACCACGTTTTTCTTGTGGACTAAAAAGTAGAAAATAAATTATGGCTTGCCCAAAAAAACGTGTGTCGGGCAGATTTATGATTAAAGCGAAAAGCACACAACACACGAATTTTGGAAATTTGATGGTGAAAAGTCCACAAGAAAAACGTGGTTTTTTAAAAAGTTTTTTTTAAGTATTTTATTTTCTCCTTTTTAGTCCGTTGCTACACATGAAAAACGTTGTTGCGACTTGCGAGCCAATTTACTTGCCTTGACGTACGTATCGATGATACGCAGCGTAAGCGCCTGCTCGTCTATAACGTAAGCGCCCACACGTCATACTATATATATACTATTTATATATACTTTACTCAATTAAGCCAATTTAGGTCTCTAATTGCTAGTTTTTATGATTGTATCTGAAATTGTTAGGCGAAAATAGCCTGCATGCCGAATTTCAGATCTCTAGAGCAATCAGAAGTGGGCTAATTTTCGTTGTCAATGTTAACCACAAACAAACAAATAAACAAACAAACAAACAAACGCGAAGCTAAGCTAAGAATAAAATACTTAAAAAAAACTTTTTAAAAAACCACGTTTTTCTTGTGGACTAAAAAGTAGAAAATAAATTATGGCTTGCCCAAAAAAACGTGTGTCGGGCAGATTTATGATTAAAGCGAAAAGCACACAACACACGAATTTTGGAAATTTGATGGTGAACGTACAGCCCAACCCACGTTTTTTGGGGCGAGACATAATTTATTTTCTACTTTTTAGTCCACAAGAAAAACGTGGTTTTTTTAAAAAGTTTTTTTTTAAGTATTTTATTTTCTCCTTTTTTTTAGTCCGTTGCTACACATGAAAAACGTTGTTGCGAGCCAATTTACTTGCCTTGACGTACGTATCGATGATACGCAGCGTTAGCGCCTGCTCGTCTATAACGTGAGCGCCCGCACGTCATACTATATATATATACTATATATATACTTTACTCAATTAAATTAATTTCGGTCTCTAATTACTAGTTTTTATGATTGTATCTGAAATTGTTAGGCGAAAATAGCCTGCATGCCGAATTTCAGATCTCTAGAACAATCAGAAGTGGGCTAATTTTCGTTGTCAATGTTAACAACAAACAAACAAACAAATAAACAAACAAACAAACAAACAAACGCGAAGCTAAGCTAAGAAAAACGTTTTAATAAAAACGTGTTAATGAATCGTTATAGTTGTAGATTTTTAATTAGTTCCTGCAATATTTTTGTAGTTGAAAGTATACTTAGAATTCATCCATTAATTTGTCGAACTTTTCCTTGCTGAATGAACTCGGATAAAAAGAAATGCTTGCCCAGACCAAGCAGTACATTGGAAACGGTAAACAACGCTGTCAAAGTTGACGGATTACCGATGCTGTTGAAGGAAATTTCGCTTTTCTGATGAGCAATGCAGGCGATACAGACGCTGACGCGAGACTCGAGAATTCGCTGAGACAGTTTATTTTGAGTCCATAATTCAGTAAGTCTCGCACGGGCTGCAGCCTCATGTCTTCGAAGAAAACAGAAGTATCTTCTACTAAATAACGAATATAAAAAAGAATAACCTATTAATATTTTTATCTAGAAGGATGCATTTAAGGTCTTATACGGCGAAAATGAATTCAAGTTTGGTATTGAATGACATTAGAACAATAAAAATGTATGGCAGAAAGGAATAGTTTAAATTTTAGTATTAAACATGTGTAATCTAGTGATTGAATTAGCGATACCCTCGTTTAACATGAAAGACCAGAAACGTTTATATGAATGGCATTACTGCTCTATAGCTCTGCTTGTTTGTTTCGGTAGAGATTCTGATGAATTGTTAGTCGAAGAAGCTGAATGATCATTTAAAAGTTATTGGATTTTATTAAAATTAAATCTGTTAGCTTTTATATCAACTTCAAAAGATAAAATCTGACAGCTTTCCGAATTTAATGGAACGAAGATACGCAGATCATCAAATTGCTGATATTGCTTCCAGATGAAGCTGTATCTAAGGTACCACGTCTCATTATTTGCTTGGGTCATAATCGTGCCAGGTTATTTTCTGACGACGAATTATCGATTGACATCAGTTGCATTCGTGATGACATATGTGCGCATTTATTTTTAACTAAATTAAATGAAAATGGTTTTCTCGAACTATTGTAAAGGAAACGGTACAGCAGAAATTAGTATCCATTAAGCCTTATTTACATTGCATTAGCGTCTTTCAAGCAATACATTTTTAGACCAGTTCTATAGCGAGATAACGTTTTCTGAAATTCGTGTAATTATGAATACGTTTGATCATCTTATAAAATTGGAGAAATGCGCCTCGATATTTCTTGTTAATCCTTTGGAGGACTTGTTTTTGGTCGTGTTAAGGTTTTTGTTTCATAATATTTCAATTTAAAAAATTTTCACCATGCAAAAATCTCGGTAAATAGTGTGTGCAGAATCAAACAAGATTCACTTGAATTTAACAAAATAAACATTGCTCAGATGTTAAGTTTAATTGTAATTTGGCTTAAGCTACCATGAGAGTACAGTCACCGAGATGGGTTGATCGATGACAAGAACGGTAAATTCGAAGTAAGTTGCACTGTGTGCAATTGTGCATGCTCCAATTTATTAGCGGCCAACGATCGTCACTTCCCTTAAACTCAATACGTCATTCAGCAATCAAAATGGTATTGAATTCCGAGAATAAAAACTCAGTAAATGCTAATATGAAGCTACCATGCCATATATTGAAAAAGAATATTGACCACTCACTTGATACCAGTGGTAGTTCACACAAGACAAAAGATAAGGCAGCTTTATCTTAGCGTCAGAGACAAGGCTGCCTTATCTCTGACGCTGGATTGATTGGATATTCCTCACAGTTACGTTGCCAGCTGTCGATATTGAAGGTTCTGTGTTAGCGTAAGATCTAAATGGTTTGAAATTTTTTTATATTTCAAGAGGGGAAAATAAGACAAACTTGCAATCGCACACTCTAGAGCTGCACCATGGACAATGTATATCAGCAAGACAGTGTCGACTGATTTGTTGAGTAGCTGTGATTAGTCTTGCTGTTACAACTGTTTACTGAGCATCTCATCTATTGTTCGAATAGGAAGCTACACATTCATGGAAATTTGGACTAAGACGATGCAAATTCCGAACAAATTGTAAATGTCATCAATGTGTTTTAATTATATTATAGGTAATGAAGGCTAGAGACCAAGTAGAAAGAAAAATGTAATCAAAGTACTCCGTCGAAGGACGAGGTCTGTTATCAATGTGCCACGCATGCAGTGCATTCATCGTATATAACGCTTTGTTGGCGCGATGGCCAACGGTCATTGTATTCGGATTGCCGAGTTGTTGCGGATGAATTTGATGGTTATGTAGCTACATGATGCAGAAAAAACTGCTGTCCACTTCGGAGGATTATTGAAGTATTTTTGCAAGTTATTAGTGCGCATAAACGAAGAGTTGAGGATATGAATAATTTCACGAATTTGTTATCTAACAGTAATTGGTGAAAACTTTTTATTTTGTAACTAATCTGGCGACATTTTTGATCAAGTTTACTTTAGACTAATGTAATTTTGAGTACAACAAACAATATTTTGAAAGCGTAACTGTAAGCAATGTTTCTTTAATGAAATAATTGATTCTGAAATTTAAAAAAATAAAACCAACACTTTAAGCTCGTGTCTCTCCCTGACAGGGTTTATTTGAGCGGAAATCATGAAGCAGTTAATATTCATATTCATTGCAACTTTCACTGCATTGGGACTTGCCGTTAGTGGAGAATATGATGAAACTGGCCTTTTTCAGCAACCAGCGCTCGGAGTTCCGATTCTCAAAGTAGAAACATCGAACCCTTACTGCAACTTCAGACGCATGTTCGGACCTGTCTGCAATATGACTGGATTCAGCGGGGTGAGAACTACTGTAATAAATGCCTCAATGCATGTACTGGTTAAATGGAATGCAATGGTATGACTCATATGCTGCGGTTAAAGCGCATGATGTTCAGTAACTTCCAATGTTTGGAACCGGGAGAATGCAGTTGTGGAATAAGAATCAGAATGGTCTGGGATGATGAGCAGACAAGTTTCTAAGAGATAAGTTCAAATATTTCTACGATATACTTTATTATTATTAATTGATATTTCAGTCGGAAAATTAATAAATTATTGATATTTCTGTCGGAGAATCGAATAAACGCTCCTTTTGTTAGAGGATAATAAACGTATCCATGCCCCGATGAAAGTTATAAACAATTTTTCAGATCCTAATGATTGATTCTGGCTTGCAATTGCCCGATGCGCTCGAGATTTCCGTTACAAAAGCTGACATGGTTGTCATGAATCCTGTATGTGTGCCGTGGATCAAGGCTTACGAGGTACAAGACTTCACAACTATTTGGCACAAGGTAAGAAAAAAGAACTTTTTTGTTCGTTCTGAGCTTTTGAATCGATCAAAAGAATTACAATTTGACTCCAAGCAGTCGCGTAAAATGTAACAGTACATGTAGCGTTTCTAACATTAGTATAGTAGTAGTATAGTATCTTCGGCATTGAAGAATAGGCTAGGATACGCCTGTCGTCGATTCTTGTACTTTTCTTGACTAGACAACATTATCTTAGAGTGTAGTGGTTTTAAAATTTATTATTACAGCTTAATGTAATCAGGAATAAACGAAAATTTAACGAAACATCTCACTAAATCAGTGAATTTTACAGTCAGCAGAAACCGCAAAGGAAAGAAATTGTCGAACTTGGCTTCGCGTCATTGATTCCCACGTCTCGACTCTGAAGTCGGGAATCCACGACGTCAGTTTGATAAACTCATCAGTCGACACGATAAACCTGGCAAACCTTCGAGACTTTATGGCAATGTCCTCAAACCTTTCAGTTATTGAACATTTAGACTGGCGAGGGTACAGAGGAATGATTGCCTTATCCAACATCAGCACAATATTCCGAATCGAAAGCAACGACAATTTAACAATCGGTGAATCGCACATTGGTAAAATAGCTCAAAATGGATTCGTTTTTAATGGGCGTGAAATGATCATCAACCAAACCATCTTCAATGAAGTCGATTACAATGGCATTTGGCTTAACAGCGGAGTGATCAAAATCGAAAACACCATACTTCAGGATGTCAAAAAAGATGGAATTATCCTAGGCCAGGACGTCAGAGTCATAATGAAAAACGTGACGATTGAAAAATGCCAGAAGCCTTGCGTGCAGATTTATAATATGCGGTATTTTGAACATAAAAATTTTGAGGTGAACGGGAAACCATTCGAGGAGGATGCCGATGTCGTTAACTTTGCTTGGGAGGAACTTTCTGCTGAAGTAAAATCGCTCGATTCCGATGAACATTGCCGGGGAGAGAGCGAGGGTTTGTCGTGTGACTTCAATTATACAAATGAGGTAAGTTGTTCGTTGGCGTGAATAAAAAGTCAATAAAGGAAGCGATGAAAATAATTTAGAGCAATAATTTATGACGTTTATTTACGCGGTAACATTTGTTGACTTCCAAATACATTGTTTCCATTGGTAACATTTGTTGTTTCCAAACTTGTACAGTTTTTAACTATTGGTAGTTGCTCTTTGTTTTGAAATTTTAAATCTTGAGAGTAAACTGAAATCGAATTCTTAAATTAATTTAATGTGAAATTGGAAGTTACAGCTGGTACGAGTTTATTTTGAAACGAATCATTCATTTCAATTAAAAAATTCTATTTTCTGAAACTATTAACACGTTGGCCGCGATGTGCGCCATATATGTACACGCTGTACTTCTCAGAATCGCGATGTGTACACATGTGGTACATTCATATGAAAAATACATATTTTTCTAAAATCTTATTACTCTTTCAATTCAACCCTGAGCGATGTGCACCAAATGCGGCCACAAATTTTACGTGACACAATGACAGAACATACCCCTGCAGAGCTGCACACAACTTTTCTCCTTGCTATCTGCCGGGTAACTGAAGATATACAAGTTTGAACCTATCGCCCGTACGGCATACGGGCCAAATCAGCAATCGCGGCCAAAGTGTTAAGTTAGAAAACATTCACGCTTAAAATGACTGTGAAGAAGCTTCTCGTCTTGACAATGGCATCTCTGATCTAGATCATAAAGGATGTTCATTTATTCCTATACGTTCAATTGTAATTTTTATTCACAACTTGCGCTTCTTTCAGACGGTGACTCTGACTCCGACCGATCAAATGACCGTCAAGCAATACAATATCAGTAATTCAATGGAATTGCACATCGTTGGAGCAAGTGCCTTGGACGTCATCGTTTACAATTCACACGCCATTTACACTGAACTGACAAAAGAATTATTGAAAAACGAAAGTTCATTTGATGCTGGTGGTTCTCTGACAAGCTATAATTCAACGTTCGGAATAGTTCAAGCTGGAAATCTACGGCAACTAACGGCTCTCGACTCAAAACTCACGCAAATACACGCGGGCACGATAGAAAGAGTGACGTCGCAAAACTCGGCATTGCAAGTCAGGCGACTGAACGTTTCTGAGGAGGCGGAATTCAGCAATTCGGAGATCAGCATATTAAATGCAAACATAGATGGCTCTCTCCTTGCGAATTTTACGGTCTTTGGCAACGTATGTTTACAATCGGTGAATTTTAATGTCACTTCATTCAATTATAGTGTATTCAGCAATCACAATTCATGAATATAATATACATGGAAATATTTCGCAATGGTTCATGATTTGAAGCCACTCCTATCATCGTTCATATTTATTTTTCATTCTAATCCAGATCTCAACTCTCCACATTCTGGGCGACGCGAAGATCTTCAACTGCATATTCAAACAACTGAGCATCCATAGCATCACCGTCTCCGGGAACCTAAGTTTAAGTAATGTTACTTTCGAGGACTATGAGTATTTGCCAATCTACGTGGCTGAAGGAGGCAGTCTGGAGCTCGTTAATGTTTGGCCCAAGAAAGTCTGGCATTTCGTTTCAGTCGTCGACAGGAAACAGGTTGGTACTTCGTGAAAAACGTGAAGTTGAGTTTCATTTTCTATGGAATATCCCTTCCTATGGTTATCATGCAATGCGTGTTATGTATAACAGTATGCGAATGTGTTTATTATACTATTTTTATGTATAACGTAACATAACATAACATAACATAACATAACATAACATAACATAACATAACATAACATAACATAACATAACATAACATAACATAATATAACATAACATAATATATTGATCTCGGCGCTGCAGTGTAGGCCTGATGTGGCCTGCCGCCGATTCTTTTCCTTTTCGTGACTTGTTCACAGAAGATCTAAAATCGTGTCATTTGACCGAATCTTTTCAGGACTAACGATAGTTTGAGATAGCTACTAGACTTCCAACGGTTTCGATATGCATAATACACATTCCTATACTTGATAATATATATATATACATTATCAAGTGTGAATGAATTTTTCAAGAACGACTTAGCTCATTCCAGATTAGAGCTACCTCAGTAATTAGAATGACGATATTTTAGGCATTACAACGTTAAAAACAAATTACGAAGTTTTATCAATAAAATTCTCAAAATAGTTTTTTAAACTTATGACGACTCCGAAATTTATCAAAATCAGTTGAATGCACAAATTTCTATCAATTTTGCGAAACTGTGATAATAGAAAGCAATCAAGTCTCGTGAGATGTACCAAGTATCAGCTCAAATAAAAATAAATTCGCTCATTCAACATATACGAGCATGTCTTGAGACTGAATTTGACCGAGGAGCTACGCTGAAAACAACATGCAATACGAAAAATCACGTTAAAGGCTTTAATGACATATATCAACCTAAAGTTATAATTTAAATTTGCAGGTGAATTGGCAGAGTGATGATATAGAACACTTCATCACTATCAGACAGCCGCTCCAGAAAGAAAACGTGCTGCTGGTTGGCAAGAATAAGCTGCACTGTGAACAAAAGCGATTTATGTTTTCACCGGCATTTCGTTTCGATCAACCCTTAATCTGCAACTACACAGATGTTGAGGTAAACCCCGCGATATCGTTTAGCGAGGCCTGCATTAAATTTATACGTTTGTATCGTGCAACGCACTTACTAACGAATCAGAATTCAATTCTGTGTTGATGAGCGTCATCCGCTTGCCTTCTTTCCATTTGATTTGCTCCATGATAAACACTTAAAAATAATGTCTTCTGAAATGAATTGCTAAATTTAAATTTGCTGAAATGAAATATTTCATTCTATTTCCTCTACACGCAGCCCTTATTAAGAATTAGCGAAAGAAGGGAAAATCAAAGTTCAGTTTACAAGTTAATGAAATTAAACGTCTAAGTTAAAAAAAAACTACTGATATGGTGACAGAACAGTGATGTCAGTTCTTTCGGCAGTTAAAGTAGAGTGGTAACTATATTAAGTTCGAAAAATATATGATTGATAAATTAAAGGGTATACTGATGCATAAAATGTAATTGATATTGTGAGGGTGCAGGAAGAAGTGGAGGTTGCGGTCGACCTTAAACCAAAGCCTTTCCCGACTTCAGTGTACATCATAGGCGCCAAGTTTCTCAGACTTGCGAGCATCTGCACCTATACGGTGAGTAATTTCGTGTAGAAAAGCCTGAACAAATAAGTTGATGTAAATTTAAAACTCATTCGCAGTGAATAGATATATGAGAACTGACTTATTTTTACTGTTTTCAGATAGACCTGGATAACGTGAGAAATGCCACGATGGATTACGTCGCTCATCACTGTCACTATCAGCTCAAAATTTCCAACTCTAGCGTCGCGAACATTGTTAATGAACCCGTTACGATCCAGACACTGGACAGCATGGTGGGAGAAATTGAAGCGATTTTTCCACTAGATCAATTAGTTATTAATCGATCAATAGTGCACTCTCTGACAGCATCTCCTATGACTACGGAAGTCTTGAATGCAAACATTTCTTCCGTTGATATGCTAATCTGTTATCGATCGCTGACAATGAACGATTCGTCGATTGGATCCGTCACGTCCATTCAAGTCTTAAAATTTGGGTCGATAATCAATACAAAAATTGATAGAGTATCATATCCGGGAATCTACGTTGATGGAGATTTAATATTTGAGAATGTAACTATCAAGGATCTAGATGTCAAAGCCATAACTTTCGGGGTTGGTGGTCGACTTTCTCTAAAAAACGTCATTATTGAAAAGGGGTATATAGATTCCATTGATCTGTCTTCTGGATCATTGGATCTAATAAACGTCACACTGTTTGGAGCTCCTCTAATTCTCGAAAAACATGTCCAACTCAAGATCAACCGAGAAGAATCTAAGACTTCTGAACCTGCTAAAACAGACTCTCAGCAACCTACACCAATCTTGACTACTCCTTTGAGCGTTTCGACCCCGAGAAGTACAGAAGGTCCTCACAAAGTTGTATCTGAAGCCGTCAAAGCTTCAGTCACCGACGCTCAACTGTCGCCAGATTCTCCAGGAGTTCCGGAGGTCCAGCCGTGGATCAAATGGGCAACCGCTGGAGCGTCCATCTTCCTGGCATTGGTGGTGGTTCTCATTGCAATTTCTTTGGCCGTCGTCGTCAGGTGAAGACAAAACGCTGTTCTATGCAACATCTAAGTAATTTTTACTGAATGATTTTTTAAGCTCCAGTCGTAATGCGGCGACTATAAACAGGAATGTCAATTTATCGTTTTGTTTAATTGCTCGCAGCCTCCAAATTGTTAAATACAGTAGTCAAAATGATACTTTGTGTGTGAACCGTTTGTTTCGAAACCGTCATTCGTGACATCACCTTCTCCAAAATGTGCAATTGCATTTTTATACGGCGCATTAATGCATACAGCCTTTTCATTATTCTGTCATAGGTAGAAGTACCTCAAATTTAATCTTGTTCCTGCCGAACATATTTTTGCGCCGCAGGGCTGTTGACGCTATGATAATTGTCATTTCTGCTGTCAAAACTATAAAAGTTATAACGTTGTCGTGCGTGCATAAGAAGGCTAACGTATGACATTTAGGTTGGGAGTAATACAATATGTTCAAGTTGCAATTGTCTCGTCACATTTAAAAATATTCTTATTTGTACAGGAACAACGGGAGCAGCGAGCCTTTTTCGTTGCGGTTGCGTCGTATGTTCAGAGCAGCGATTGAGGACGAGAGTCCAATCTCGACAGAGCTTGACATGCACGTAGCACACGAGCACCGCGACTCCTTCACCACACACTACTCCCGACTACCTTCTATTTGAAGTGGAGCTGATCTTATATTTTGTATACGATGCCATTTTCGAAATTTAGTATTATTTAGAGGAGTGAGAGAATCCAGCGATGAATTAAAATTCAATCTTTAATGATCCAAATAAAGTCCATCTTGCAGCAAACGTATATCGTACAATACGAATGATTTTTGGGTTAACTTTGAGCCAAACAATAAGGGCAGGGTTGAAAAGTGGTTACAGTTCAGAGTGCCAGGATTGTAGCAGTGAGTTGCGAGTTCGAGACCGCAAAATGCTGTGAATGTTCTGCGATGTTAAGAATCGGCGACAGGCCTACGGCCTACTAAACGCCGAAACCGCTATTATTATTATTATTATTTTTATTATTATTAGTATAAACATGGATTAGTTCGCCGAGGAATTCAGAAAAGAAGTTGTCGCATCTCCAGCTTATTTATTTAGGAGGACTCGCTATTTATTTATGAGAACTTTGTATTGTAAGGACTTTTATTGATTATCAGAAGAATTACTTTATGATTTATTAACTTCTTGTGGAGCCCCGAATTCTGGCGCATCGTGTCAAAAGCCAAATTTCAGCGTTGAGCTTATTAAATTCAGGAGCATGTCCGTAGACTTATTAATCCAAACAAACAATATATGCCAATTTTAATTGTCTAGCATTAATTCCAGTGATTTAATGATAAAAAAATGATTGAGTGGATTAGTACTCACAATAAAAGTGAGTTACTTCAAACTCCATTAATTGTGAAATCCTGTCGAATATTATATATTGGTAGTGCCCTAGAATAGGACACTATTGTATTAACTACTCTCATTTAAGTAAAAAACTTGATAAAAGAAAAAATTATCAATTGAAATAAAATTCATTGATATTCCTGCCACACAACTGGGCTTAAATTGAGATTAATATGAATCCGAAATAAATAAATAAACCGATGCCTGATTTAAGGGTTATTTCCGTGTTCCATTTCATGCGTTGCCATGCCTGACTTATCAAATTATTAGTTATAACAAAACAATTTCATGTACGTAAATGAAAATTTGGTTTGCAGAATCCATATATAAACAAGTTTAATATATTTGAATTCATCAAATTCAGGGACAACATAGCTGCCGTTGTAAACTCAAGGAAATACTATAAGGTACTAATTTTTTAATCGATCTGAAGAAGTTTCCTTTTTGTATTTTGACAGTAATATAAAATACAAGCGGACATGAGCCAGAAATCTGCCATGCTGTACTACGCGTATACATGTAAATATTAGATACAGCATTATCTGGATATACAATATAAATGTCTTGCATTAGAAATACTTTCGATTGGATCCTCCGAAGAATGAATGGAAACGTGATGCAGCACCTATGATTATAATGCCTACTTTATAAGAATAATACTTTTATCTGGCGTCGAAGCGTGCATGATCAAAAGAAATGAGGTAAACCAACGAACACAAAGCGTCAAAAAGCTGCAATGATCAAACAAACAAAAGTAATTTCAAGACAACAAGATAATGTTATTCAAATTCACAACTCAGACGATTTTGTTAGCAGCTCGCTTTCTACGAGTGACTTTGACCTTGTGTTTGGTCATGTGTCGAGTGATAACAGATTTCTTTGTTCTTTGTTGCTGAAAACGTACAAAGAGAACATGTGAAGGGCTTTGCATACTTTTTGTATGGTATCCGAGAAGGAAAAACAGACTCTTTTCTATGTATCGACTCCTGAAGATCAGACGTGAGGTCGGGGATGGAATCTATAATTGAAGGAGCTTGCTTATCTTCTCCAGAGGTATGACGGACCTGTTGTTCTGTTTGTTGGGCTTGGATGTGCTCGTAAATTTTTCCAGTATTTGTAGATTTCTTCAGAACTCTATTATTGATCTTGGTTCTAAATTTAGTAATTGGAGTTATTTCGCTGTTAAATGCTCGATTTCCAGGAATTTTTCCAGTTATTGAAGAGCAATCTGCAGTTGGATCATTCATCAACCGTGTGCTTTCTTCTGGTTCAGAGGCTTTCTTGTGCGAACGACTGGTAGAAAAGGATACAGGGTGGTCGGCGTGAGAATTTAAATATGCTTGCTTGTATGTTATGAATTGTTTGCTTTCTTCATTTAGTACAGCTGCTAAACGACTAGAAGATGAGCGAGCTAAAGACACGGCTCTTCCAATCATCGCAGTCGCACTGCGATGCGCCGATGGCTCTTCAGATGTCTTCATCTTCATTTGGTTTCCTGCGATTGAAGACAGAGGTGCTTCAGGATTCATTAACACCCCAATGTTCTGCTCGATAAATTTTCGCTTCAAATTAGGTGCCTTCATTTGTGTGCTTTGGGAAATACTCGAAAAATTTTCACGCCCTGTCAACTTTGATAGAACTTTATTGGAAGGAGGAGGACTCGCCGATTTTAGAACAGCAGCATGTGATTTGGGTAAGGAATTTGCTCGTTCTCTAGGTTCCGGTTCTCTGGTAGGATGATCAACAGAATGCAAGAAGCTGTGTTGTCTCATAATAGACTCATTAATTGCTTTGAAGGGACAGAAATGGCAACAGTGAAGCCCCGGCCTCGTTTTTTTCTGCGTTTTTGAAGCGTCACACGAGGCACTGATGAAATTAGTTTGGAATCTCCCACTTGAATGAAAATAATGATCTCGATGGACAACAGAAGCCTTTTTACGATCATCGTTTAGAAATTTTTTTGACAAGCATTTAATTTCTTTCGCTTTCAAGTAGGAGTTTTTCGGTTTTAGATTGCTAATTCTAGTAACTGTGGTCAACTCTTCGCCGTGAATAGGACTTGTATTTTCAATAAATAATTTCGTTATATTGACATCTTCAGCATCGGTTGAACTCCGAGTTGTTTCCGTAAAATTTCCAGAAGAGTCGAGCGCCTGCCCATTTTGTTGGACTGGTAAATAATTTTGGAAGGCTGAAGCAGCCATTTTTGTCATAGGAAGAGAGTTTGTAGTAGAAGAACTCGTTTGTGCAATCTTAAAATGTATCCCATTTGTCCTGGGCAGAGAAATAAGCCGCTGCGACGTTTTTGTTGCTGTCGGCGTGTCTTTAGCATCACAGACGGAGCTTGATTTTGAATTTAACTGATAATATCCATTGTTGCCTTTCAGACAAGGTTTTGGAATCACAAAATTTTTGGATGAAATACTATTTGCATGCATTTCTGTATTTAGATTATTGGAAAAAGGGTTTTGGACACCGGAATTCGAAGAGTGAATCGTAACATTACTCTGAGATTGAGTTGTACCTGCAGGATTAGTTTTTTCGTCTGAAGCTGCTTCATTTCTTTTGTTGAGGGAAAAGCCATCTGCGTGAAGAAAATAAGGGAACTTGTCTTGTATAGATTTTAGACTCCAGGCGACGAAAAAGATTTATTATCGCATTTTATGTGCAAATAAGAGAATCAAGTTAAGGTGAAGCAAAAATTTAATTTTCATTCAATGCTTACCAAAATTTTCCAATGATGAATTTGAAGTATAAATCGATGATGACGGAAATTCTTGGTTATGCTTGACCAAGAAAACCAGTGGAGGACTGCTCGAGGTAGCTTCCAATATTGAGACGTAAAATTCACAAGAGTTCGACGAGTCTGGCAACATTTCACGGCTCATCGCACGGTTTTCACGGGCGCCCTGCGTGTTTGAATGACATGAAAGCTTTAAAATATTTATTGAGATTTAATACTTCAGGAATGGAAGACACTATTGGAAATAGTTTCTTCCATTCGTAAAATTTCTCTACAGACCTCAACTCTTAACAGATCAAGTGATCAAGCTATTTTTTTTTATTCGTGATACTGTTGGCAATCGTTTCAAAATTCTCCTGACTTGAATAAATGAAACTTTTCAGCTAAAAATATGCTTCACTAGAGGTAATCATTTTTGATTGGTACAAGATTTTTGGCGCCGATGAGACGAGTGATATTTATCAGTGAAATTAATCACATGCTTGATTGCTTCTTGCATTCGTAATGGCAATCGTTGAGGCCTTAATTGTATTGGTTGGCATGTGCACTCATGTTGGTCAATTGTGAACGTGGCCCCAATTCATCAGCCCGCCAACCTCACATTAAAACTGACATACATTTTGTTCCTACTATACCCTCAATATATACATTTTGGATACATTAGCTTTATAACTTCAATAATTATATATTACAGCTGAACTTAAGTCCGTGACCACCAAACGATCCAACGAATCGGGGCAAAGTGCGCTACGTTGACCACGCGTGTTACGAGCAAACAATCTCTTTTCTATTGGCCTAGTGCTGATATCGACTAAGGTGATGACACATAGGGACATTCTTAAAAATAATATTACATTACATTTGCCAACAAAATTGCATGTAAACGACTTCATCTCGCTTTTATCTACATCATTCAGCGGACAACTAATACAACATTCAATGGATGGGTTCGCATGAAATGCACTGAATGAATGTCAACGTTTCTCCAAATAATACAGAAATTGTCTAAGATAATTAATTTGTAACCGAAAACCAAGTGAAATAACCATTAGAGTTCACCCATCTGTAATTTATCTCTTATCAGAGTTCATCTCTTACTTAACCTATCGCCTTCATTCTAAAACCAGCTCAGATTTGAACACTTAACAATGTTTAAACTCGTAAATAATGCTACTAATCAAAATCCATAACAACGGTAAAGTTTTTTAGAATGGGTCTTCCTGATTAACCACAATTTTCATAATTATGGCGGCACACGTCCGTCACCGGAGAAAATTGAAAGGAAACCGTTCGTATATCTAAGCTAAAGACGGAAGCTTATCACACGTTTGAAATTCCAAGTAATACCCCAAAGAAACATTTGTTTACGTCAATGCTTGCTGCGGTAAATTTATTAGGAAGATTTGAAATTGGATTAAAGTAGTCGAATTTCTATGTGTAATTATTTATTTTTGCAGCAATTTGTTATGTCATTGATTCCTAGAATGAACATAAAATCATAAGATTTTTTATTCACCTTGCGGTTACATTTAAAAAATGTGTGACGCTTCGTATATAAAATGTGCTGAAACTTGATTTAAATTCGTGTTTAAGTAAATGGATGCACCTTTGATCAATAATTACTGCTACAAAGAGTATCATATAAAATATAAATTATCAATAACAATGGGGAACATTGACGATAGTAACTAATATAACGAGCTACAATGTTAAAAAAATATAACTCAGTACCCACTGCAGTGAGTGACAGAGAGCGCATTTTCTCGTCGACGAAAACTTGAGGTCACGGACGGACAGACAGACAGACGGACATGGCGAGCACAATAGTGCATTTTTACATAAATGAGAAAATGCGCTAAAAAGTAAAAATTGACTTCTCTTCATGCAGTTGACCAAGTCGAACTCAAGAGGTTTTGATAGAATTTGGTTTATCATAACTTCAACACCTGTACAGTCATTGTGAATGGATGGGTACAAATAAATTCTTAATTTAAGTGACAAAAAAACGAGCCGTGAAATTAATAAGTTGTGACATGAGAAGAATAGATAAATTTGAATACATAAATTTTATGTAAACGTTTTATCTCGCCGCAGGGGTGAATTTAATTTCAAAATCGAATGACATTATTTCCGTTCAGAACAAAAATATCAACCTAATGAAATATTCAAGAAATTCCCTATGATATACTCTTATTCAGCTACAAACACTGTAAAAATTATGAAGATATGCAACACATGCAAACAAAATGATCCTGATTTAATAAAAAATTATCAAGTTTCGAATCTTATTTTGAGGATCTGCAATAAACTAACTCTAAGCAAGAGGCTATTTGAATTAGATAAAAAAATTCGGATTTTGCGAATGAAAAAGGCAACAGAACGAAAAGGAAATAGTACTTCAAGTCCAATAGAGCCTCACAAGTTTGTTTGACTTAAGCCCAATGTTCAATTTCTTGCAAATAAAATCCAGTTCTCAGTCATCAGATAATGAACACCATTACTTAGGTATACACCATTACTTAGGTATAAGTTCGCGTCGCTGACGCATGCGTGTCACTCGCGGATCTCCGGATCTGTCATGCTAACTAGCTTTAACCTGAACAACGTTCGTAAAACAAAATGGTACTGGGCCTGCAATGGTTTATTTGGTGGTTCAGATGACTGGATTTAGTCTGAAGTTTATGCATCTTAGTCACATAATTTTTTTATGAAACGAAATGTTAAAGTATTGATCGCCAAGTTGATTTTTGACCGTAAACCATTTGCGCTCTGTAATTTCCTTTAAAACATTTAGTGGAAGATTTCAGAACTGCAGCATTTTTTCGAGTTCTGAATCCACATTAGCACTTGGGTTAAGTATACTAACGGGTGTGAATCAAAACTAAAATAAGCAATGCTAAAATTATAGTAAAATATTTACTTACGCGACAAGACAGCCAGTCCAACGGAGGTAAAAGAACCAATCCTCTTCATAACGACGAGCTCCTGGGGGATTGTTCCTGAGCGCCCCAACCGCTAAGCTCGCGGTGTCTGACTGCGACGGGTCCCAGTTGTAGGGTTAAGTTTTCATGTAGGTAGGATTCCTTACATTAAGTTATTATGTTGGTAGGATTTCTTGCATTTCCCTTCTCTGTTTCTCTCGTGTGGGCGGCCGACGTCCCGTGTAAGCGACCTCTTGTTCGAGTGTCTTCGTTTCTGTTTCTTTTCACCTGTCCCTCAAGTCACTTCGTCTCTTTGAGATGCTAACGCTGCTTCTTTCCAGCCAGCTTTAGCGGGCTGGACAATTGAGACCTTCCGCCCCTTGTGGGTGATGAATGATTTTTGACTTAAGAAACTTTTGATAATTGAGACCTTCCACCTCTTTGGTGATGTTAATCTTCACTGTCGGTGCGAGATAGCTAAATAGCTGAAGCGCTAGTAAACATGTGGCAACTAAACTAACTAACTCATCAAGACGAATCAGTCCTTTTCTACCTACTAGCTCCCACGTGGTTCGTCTTCTCTTTGAAGTGTAGCCTCAACCGTGGACCTGGTCGTAGCTAAAAAAGAGTGTCACTCAATCGCTCCCATAAGGAGTGATATCCCATAAAATTATGAATGGACCTGCTGGGGAAAGTCTGAACTGGTGATGCTGGGTATGATCCCGCACGTGTTCGGACGGCACAGCCTGTCCAGAGCTGCTGTTGTGCAATCACATAGGTGAACACAGGCAGAGAGCCCTTCTACGAGCACAGGCACCGGGTACGCATGCAACACCTTACCTCGGGTTGGGGACAACTTGTTAAAACCATCTCAAAGAAACCGACGAAATTCCAGCGTGCAGTAGCTAGAAGTACTGTCCAATTGAGAATACAGAGCAGATTTAAGGGAAAGGTTAACCGAGTGAGAACAATCATTGCTGCCAATCGGAAGTTTCCTCACTTGTTCGACGACTGCTTGGACCTGAACGCTAACGCAGCGCTTCACAACTCGGGCAGTGCTGTTGTGGCTTGTTAAGATTTTTAAGATTTTTCCATCTCCCTCTCCCTAATTTGTACAGTTTTTGGCGATAGTTTGAGTTCTGAACACCTTCAACGCGATGTTGGCAAAGTATTTCGGAAAAAGGCCTCCAAAACTCCTTTTCATGACCGGAAAACTTGTAATCAGAATTGTACTTTCATTTACGTGATTACTTTCCCGAATTTGGTCTCATGACTTTAAACACGCACCTTCCATAAAATATTCGCACAAATTCAAGACATAACTCATGGGGTATATCACCTGATTGTCCATACTTGGCACAATTTTGTTAAGAATACAGTGAGAATTTCTGAAAATGGAGGCTTAATTAGATAACTCCAATTAAGATCGAGATTCAAATAACAATAAATGGCTCTAGGTAGGAATACGTATAAAATCTGCGCACTGCGACTGAAAAGTGACTTCGAAAAGCTACAAACCACTATCTTTCTTTCTTGACAATCTTAACTCGGATATTTCCTAATAACCGGTGAATAAAATGAATACACCTTCATTTCATATCAGTTAGGCGGATAGAAATTCTGAAAATTCACGAGCCGTAAAAGTTCTGGAGAAATAAGCCTAACCTGTCCTAGGTTAGAGTAAGTTAAATTCAACCCCTCGATTTGCACAGTAAATCTATGTTATGCATGAGCTTTAAAGAAGACAAGTTTGCATACCCATTTTCACTATTATTTGAGCGAAAGAAGAGAATGTTGGACAACTTCCCGGCTAATCACACAATTTTTTGCTCTTCATGGGACGTGATTGAAAATTAATGGGAACATTTGGAAAGACCAACGAGAATTCAATAGTTTTTGCTGGGGATTCACGTGTGTACTCATTTAAATTTACACGAGAGGATTTTTATCTTCTTTGGCTCACCTTAGTTCCATCATAAAGGATATGCAACATGTTTCTGTCCATACGAACGAAACGAAATACAAGCAAATTGATCAAGTAATTCGCATACACGTACAATCACCTTCCAACATGCGTTGAAAAATAATGAAATTCGTCCAACATTACACAATACAAAAACCCAAAAGATAAGCATTAAAACGCAATTTGCAGCTGAAATTGCACGAGGTCGATGTAATGAGCACAAGGGCGACTTTGATGTAACATGTAGGCTGTCTTTGGTTTCTACTGAAATAAAAATATTGAAGAAGGCGAGAAGATCACCTTTGACACGTCACTTTTCCGCGACTGTGTTACGCGAATGAAAGTTTTCTTATAGACCATCGTGTTTCTACAGTTCTGATATTTCTTTAATTATGCCAAGTATTCTAATTGAAGATTTAAGTACGATTAGGAAATCGGCATCGCCTGCTTATCTCACTACGTCAAACAAATAAAGACTGAAGGGTAAATTTATTATATGTATACAGACAGAATAGATTTGCTGAGAATCACTCACCAATAGAAGCACATTTCTATTGGCGTATTGTGCTGATTTAAGCTGTACTAAAACATAAATAAATATCCAAGATATTGCATAACTAATCTTCTTGAAGTTTTTGCTTACGATCGCTATTTTTATGACAGCCAAGAACTTTTAGTTGAACCACAGTTACTGATGAGAAAAATAGTAGGAAGCGAAATATCTACTTTATTTGCGTGCCGGGTGAACCGGCAGCTTGCAGGGAAGAAGTCTGCACGAGGAAGCCATTTACTCGTAGATGAGCCATCGTGCGAAAGAGAAGGTCTTGTTTCAAAAATTATGTTGACGCTAGATTTCACAACTCGCTGAACAATCTCGTCGGTATAATCTGAATTATAGCATGAGTGATCTCTAATAAAATTATGATTATTTAGTTTGTAAATAGAAATAAGCATCCACTGAGCCACTTTTCGATATAAAAATTATTTTAATGACTTACTCGTTTATGTGAAAATTTTGCTGCTAAGAAACTCCCAAATTTCAGCAACATAGTTTAATAATAAATTTATTTGACGTGAAGTCTTTTGAATCACCATATAAAGTAGAGATGCACTACTGGCTACTGCAGAGATAAAGCTAATAGAAACATCATCATGTATTGTTCACATGTGAGGTTCTTAAATGGATATAATTTTCTTATCACATAAATCATTGACGAGTAAACAAACTTGGGCCACGCGATGCTATGACTTAGATCAGTTGGATGCGAGCGCCGCTATAAGCAAGGAAAATAAAAATTGCATAAAAACATGCTATGTACTGAAGAAGACCAGATTTTTAGAAAACATTTTGTTAATGTTTGTTCGACTTCAGCCAATAGTGCAGATATACAGTAGCTACGCATAGAATTTCAACTTCTTTTACCACCGGATTTTGTAGGAATAACTTTACACATATCCAAGCAATCAATGGCGAGGTGAAGCTAAACAAGTAAATGTGTTCACTTAAAAACAACTGTCATGTTCATTTATTACCTTTATCGTGTATATCTTTAAATCCATGAGTTGCAAAAAACACGTTCAGTGAAGAAAATTACACGAGGACGATGTTTTGAAAGAACAAACTTACCTAATTTATGGAATTTAAATCACTAAAGAAAATTTGATCTTTCCACGAATGGAATCGGATCTATTGTATCGTTCTAGTGTATCGTTTATTCAGATTTCATTTGGGCGAATATACTAAAATTGGTGTCATGGATGCATTTTATTATTTCATACAAATATTTCTTTTCAGCAATCAAAGTGCGAGGCTTAGTGTAAGTTAATTCAATTTAATTATGACTAATCGTATACAGTGTATCCAAGTGAGAAAGTAAATTCAGTTCTCATAACGCATGCAAAAGAGAATACATTGCCGTGCGTGTTACTTCTATTCATGCATACAAGTTTAGTGATGCTAGCAAGCAGTATTTCAATAATTTCAAAGCTAAAATGCACATTTTCGATCGAAAATCATACTTTAATCAAGTTTATATGAAGCCGCAACGTGCTGGTAGTGTAGATAAAATTACGAACACTTGAATGAAAACTGTCCTTTCATAAATAATACTCAATCGGTAGAGAATTTCAGATCAATATTTCCTAATAATCATTAAAATGTTCAGCCAAAAAAAAAAAGACCATATTACTAAACTTACAAGGCAATGACCAGAAATACACATGGATTTTAGGTGTAGTTCATGACTGCTTGATCGATGGAAATAAGAGTAGTAAATAAGTGTAATGTTTTGAAGCTACAATAATTTACCTCTTCATCTACTAACTGCTACGTTAACAATGACTAGTCTCTTAGTGAATATTACCAAAATCTATATTCAGAGTATACAATTAGTGTAGGTATAGACTAGAATGGGATACTCCCATTAGATCGAGTCAATAATACTGTAAAGACCACTTAAAGGGTATAGCATTAAAGCCCGTGTAATGGAAAGAGAAATCAATTAATACGAAAAATGTTCAAGGTTGTAATTAAATTTTTATACGAGCGTAACTTACTGCCATAGTTTCTTGTGTCATTCCATTACAGAATGAGTAAATAAAACAATAGTTTCACAAACTTCGAATTTGAGATAATGTTTTCGCGATGCAAATTTCCAGTCGGACCATTGTGAAAGAGTTGAAATTACACATAAGAAGTTCAGATTTCTCCTCCAGTCTCAAGCTTTCGCTAAACTGAGCTCCAAAATAATCTATCAGCTGATCAAAGTAATTTTAAGTAAAAAAGTAGGTTTTCGTCGTACGGAAACGGCCGATGAGCGACTATTCACTTTTCAATTTTAAGTTGAAGGGCTTTAATTTTGTGTGGCTGATGACAAGTGGATGGCTTTAGCGAAATTTTCGTGCGCTGAAGCTGATGAGTAAAATATAATGCCATAGCGATAGTTGAGTGATAAAAATAAATATTTTATGAGACTTTTAGCGACTAGGAATTTTAGAAAGAGTAGTCAGGCTGGGCAGAAATGTCGCCATGCCAAAAAGGGTCTCTGCCATACTCCATGACAGACGTCATGCCCTGAGGGACGTACTGATGGCTGGAGGAGTAGTCCAGAGAATCCATCTGGGGTGACAGAGACGAGCTGGATCCTGTCATAGGGTGGCCGTACAGGCCTGGACTGCTGGACGAGCAACTCGCGTAGTAACTGGAGAAAAATTTATCAAACAAATATCAGCTGTTTTATTCATGGAAAATAAGTTAGTAAGAGGCTATTGAATTCCCGATTATTTGCGTGTTGTTTTTTTATTAACCAAGAGGTTAACCAGGATAGGCTTACAGGAAACAAATGATTTTATTTTGACAACAGATTGCCGGAGGGACAAATAACTGAATTATTTACTTGTTATTTCTAATTGACGAAGTGCAAGGCAGACTCACAGGACAATAAACGATTTTATAATAACAACAGCAGGCCATCACTTAGAACAAAGTATAAAATTGAGGTAGTCAGTACCGGAGTGGGGGCGGCATCGCAGTGACGTTGTAGGGAGGGGGGTCGTAGTTAGCGTAGCAAGCGCCCTGCGGCACAGCCAACGTGTTCGCTAGATGGCGGATGTAACGAATGGCCAACCTAGAATTATTAATTAGGAACAATTATTATTATTTAATTATATATCAACTTTCTGGCTTAATGTTAACCTAGGGATTCCATGAAGTTTATGTAAGTTACATTGCACATTAATCCAATGATCATTACACTGAAATGTATGATGGTGAGCTTTGTCGCTTGTCATTGACTTTAGGGAAGATGGCTTGGGTAGATAATTATTCATTTATGTTATCATTGAAATATCAGAGGATTAAATGCCCTGCAATAAATTGGTATTCTTTTATTACTATAATAATATAAATTTTCTGGAAACGATTAACTTTGGTAAGAACAAAGGAAGTATTAACGACGGTGAGCGTGAATGGTTGAAGAAGCCAATACCGGAAGAGTATTTCCGTGGTTCGTCGTGTAAAAAATGTGCAATTAAAATTGTTGTCGTTTAGAAATTCTCAAACGAGAAAAATTGAGAATGTTGAACAAAAATGCAAAACGGCAGGTAACTACTTAATTATATACATTTTAATACTTTTTCAGTGAATCTCAAGCGTATGGGAAGCAGTAAAAACATTAGGCAGTACAGATCTGGTATAAACTTGTATACAACAGTGGTCGCAAAAAAGTATCAAACCAAATAGATAAATGAATTCAGAGACTTCATGTCTGTAATCGATAAAATCGGATAAATTTTGAATTCATAGCGTTAGATACATCACAAAATGAGAAGTTAGTGATCAAAATTTAACAGGGGATGCCAATTTATAAATAGAAACATGGGAGGAGCTTATTTGAGTCTTGCACGCGCCACTCCAAAATTGCTGCAATACAAGTTTTTTTCTGAACTCTATGGTTCTTGTTATTAGCTCGTAGAGGTCTCTAACTACACGGGACTTAAGTGCTAGAAGGAAGTATGCAGCAGATTATTTGGCAGCTGCCGACGAGTTTTTTTTTTTGGTTTATGGAAGGCGTGGCTTGCAAGACGCGTGCGCGTGCGAGGCGCTCTGGGGCAGGTGGTGATAAGTTATGTCTGTTGGGTGTCTATTCCATCGTGATTACTGACAATATTCGAGGCATAAAAAAGGTTCAATTAAATAATTTAATGAGAGGATTTTTTCATAAAAGTAATACTGTCAGACTCAACTGTCGTGTAACTAATGAGAGAATAGACCGAACCTCAGGCACATAAAAATGGCGTTGAACAGATGCAAGACAAATATTAAAAGAACCCATAGTGGAATTTAATGAGAAAAAATTTTTAATAATGATAAATGAAGGTAAAGAGTGTTTTTTGTTATTATAAAAAATAAGTCAGAATTTCATTTAAATTTGAGCGTTCCCTACACGAGGAAAAAAATTGCCGACTGCTGTTTTTTGACAACAATCTATTCAGGAATGCTCCACCATCTGTGGCGCCAAAAAAGGAATGAGGTTAAAAAATTGCTTTCTGAGAACCAAGAACACAATTCAAGAATTGTTTTTTATCGTCGGATTTTCATTTTTTCTAGGTTATTTTACCTCCGAGATTCTGAAAAAAATTGATTGAATTGATTGCAGATTTTTAAACGGATTCAAAGTATGAGAGTTCGATACCTCAGGTTTGCTTTGCCGCATCTCTGTTGACATTTTAGGTTCATTACCTGCCTTGAATATGTCGAGAATGAAAAGGTAGCTCAAGTTTATGAGTCCAAGACAAGAATATCTGTGTCGTAAACTTGTTTTTTTTCTTTAAATTAGGATTATTGAATGAAAGCAGCGTTTAACAGAATAAAAAATCACTTCTATAATGAACACGTCAAAGATATATTGAAAAATATTCTTAGCTTTGGAATCCAATAGCACAGAATCATTTAAAGGTGTTGAAAAAATATTTTTACCCTAGTTACTAGTGTAACTGCTCGATGTTTAGCAATTAGCGGTCAGTGTAGCAACATCGCAGCCGGGGTCAAGCACAATCAACTCTATAAATATCAGGAAGTGAATAATTTCTAAGTTAAAAGCTTTTAGAAGCTACTTTGTTATTGAATTTCTTCCATTGGTCCTATTGATACTGTTGTCCACTTTTAGGAAGCGTAATGAATTATGTGCCAAAGCAATTTTAACGACATTTGTAACTTCTCGTAATTTTTGGGGAAGTATTCAGCGGAAGATAATTCAGACCGTTAAGAAGAAGACACTTTGTGAGGGGAGATACAAATTACAGAAATAGGTTAGAAAAATCTGAACGCTCTTTTCTAACGAAGGTTAGAACGAAACGATTTTTGTAGTCATGAACTCCTCTGAAAAAACTTCAACTCATACTCCCAGAAAGTGTCCTTCAATGAAGAAGACACACAATATCATGACAGCTATAAAAACCATTTGAACGTGCAGATCATGACTAATTCTAAACCATTTCTATGATTTTAGAAGTAAAAATGTGCGATTCCCATCTGTAGCAGCGCAGGTCGCATGAGTGGAGCGAAGTCGGTCTTGCGTGTGAATGATACAATACCTCCAGCAATACACGGCAGAGGAAACATTACTCTCTACAATCATTTCCCTTCTAATGATGTAGAATAATACAGAATTTTTAAGAAAATATTTAAAACATATGAATAATTTTGAATTGAAATTATCACGGGTCATTAGAGGAACAAATAATTCTTTAACTTAATCAAATTATTTTTCCAATTACGTCTTGCACTTTTCGACATGTGTAAAACCAAAGGAAAATCTTCGACACAACACTTGGTACCTATACGCTAACTATGGAATGTAAACTAGCCGTTGAACACTTGTTCAAATTTGAATCTGAAGCTAAAGTATAATCGAAAAGCAAAGGAATGATAGAACATAAGCTAGACAACTTTTACGCTGAAATCGGCAGTAAAGATTGATGATCATTGTAAAGAAAATTCCTCTACTTTTAAGAGACAAAAGAGAGTATATTTCGATTTTGTTGGTTTTCTCCTCTTCACTCCCCCTGTTTTACTGAGGTTACTCAGCTCGATGGAAGGCAGCACAGATGTGCTCAACACTTGTGCACACTCGCCCTGGACTGCGTCACGACTCTTCATTGATCAACCCGTCAAATTTCCCATGAACAACGTCTCATGAGTACACAGCGTGAAATGCATGTTCCATCTTCAAGTGCGTGCATAACCGTAAAATGTATACATTATGCTAAACGGCATTCATTCATTGGCTACATCTGGAACCTTCTAGGCAAATCGACTGTAATCGAGCTTAACATACGTACACCATAGTAAAATAGCGCTCCTTGTGCTATTGTCTATCTTATTAGAAAAATCATAATGTTTTCACGCAATAAAGTATTCTAAAATTAAAATTATGGGGAGAATGGCTTACCTCAAAGTTTCCAGCTTGGAAGGAAATCTATCTCTTCCGCTGAAAAATAAAAAGTGTTTTAGAGCTTGAGAATCACAACCTAATATGAAAATTACATACTTACATCAATAAATTCATTTATTTATTAAGAAACGTCACTATGATCCAATTCAACAACAATATAAATAATTAGATGATTTAGGTTTTATTTACACTGCAAACATATTCAAAGCATTGTCAACCTATATGCTTATTCGCGTATTGAAACAATTGTCGGTTTCGTTGAGGCTGTAACAGACACTAATTTTATTAATTGATAGTGTAAACTGAAGGCTGTTGATTAAATACACCCAATTCTTTGGTTACACAAGCAAATTTTACCTGATATTGTCCATCTTAGAAGGCTTCTTGCCAGGCGGGCGGCAGACAGGCAAGCGGTCTCTCAGCTGGTCGAACGCGTAGTTCATGTCGCGCATTCGCGTGCGTTCGCGATCGCAGGCTGACTTCTTGTACTCTGCTGGCAGAGTATATTGTGAACATCTCATTCATGCATTATATAATTTTATTCTCTTCTGTCAACAGTTAGGGATCGGGAAAACTTTCTCAGACATTGATCATAAACAAGTGTTTTCGTAAGAAACATATTTTTACAGTAGCCAATTACTTAGCACGAAATTTCCAGCTCCATGTAGGATCATCAATACAAATTCGTTGTTTTCGAGAGGTGGAATTGATTAATGGCATCACAGAAAGCAGTATCTGCTCTGTGATGCAGTTATTTAACACTCACAATAAACAACTTTTCAACCTTTCAATGATCTTTCGCCATTTAAACGCACAAAAATATGAGGTCTCTTATTTTTTAAATTTTAACAATGTCATATTTAAGAAAGTATTCATTCTGTGTCTGTTAAAAAAGGTTTTTTAATATTACGTTAAAAAAGATGTGAATTCTATATTCCAAAATCTTACCGTCACGCGAGAGTTTTTCTTGGACCTTTGCACTTTTTCCTTTTCCTCCTCGAGATCCAAGTCCGCCTTTGGGATTTGTTTTCTTGCCCCAAGGCGAAGATAAAGACAAAGTAGAAACGGATGACGTCGTAGCGGCCGATGAGTTGGAGACACCTGAAGGAAGGGACGCCTGGAAAGCTGCTGATGCTCTGCGTGTGACCACGGAACTCGAGCTGTGCTTGGACACGAAGGCGGAGACGGCCTGGTGGGGATCCTGCGACTCACCCGTTGCATATGCGCCCGCAAGGGTGAAGGAGGAAGGGGAGTAGTTGCTGCAGTAGTTTTGGCTTCCCAGATCCATTGGGAATCTGTAGTAGAAACGGTATTAATTATTTGTCAATTTACTTAAATAATTTATAGAAGCGGTTATGGTAGCTAAGTAACAAAAAAAATCGCAGATTTAGAAACACAACTCAGATTTCATCGACCAAAAATTAATCTGAAACTACCTGATTTATTTATGTTCAAATGAATGAAACAAACATAACGGAAGTAACTCATCCAGCTTCCTCATGCACACGTGCCTGGGATAGTACCCATCATGAGTGGGGTACGACGGAACTTGGTAGGCTAACTCATTTTCATTTCGTACAGTCAAGCCACCAGTGATGTTCATGTCGGTTCCGTTGAAGCCATACAGCAAAGAATTGTGGCTCACGCCGTTCGAAGTGTCGTAAGATTGCAAGTGCGGATCTGTGGTCGATGAGAGGGCACGCATGTGAGCTTGGCAGCTTTCGTCTCGGTCTCGAAATTCTTCTTCCGCGTACGAAACGTAGTGTTGGGGAGTGCCTAGAGCCAGCGGCCTGAAAGTTGTGATAAATCAATGCGACAGCCAAATTTTATTCACGTTTGTATAGAGAACGGGTCCCTGCATTGCGGCTACGTTAACTCCTGGGGGCAATGCTTGAAGGGTCGAAATTTGACTCAACTTATTTGACTCAATAATATTGAAATTTATTATGAAATAATAAAGAAGTGCTAACAAGTAAATTAACTCAATTTTGAATGACTCAAATGACTCAATGTGTATCAACATAATGATTTGAAATGCATGTAAGGCTTCGAGGAAAAGTAGCTAAGAAAATTACTAGTACGTAAAATTAAGATTTCGATGAAGAACTAGTAATCCTTTTGGAAAAAAACAATGCAAATAAACCGATTTATAAAATAAACGAATATGTACGAGCATGCATAATATTATTATTTTATTGGTTCATTATTCATATAGAAATGCACTTGTTTAATGTTTCAAAAATATCTATTGCTAAAGTCTTAAATTTCTTACTTAAGAGTCGCATACGAAGGTGCAGGATCTTTCGGGTATCTGAAGGAATCTGCAACTCGACTGAAAGCCGATTCGATACTCGGAAGCTTTGCTGATGACCCATCAACGGAAGTCGACATGTTGCTTCCGCCGTCAGCCAGACTCCCTCCATCGCTGTGGCCGTTCCCGATGGAAACGTTAGCTTCATAATCCCCAATTTTTATGCCCAAGTGACTGCAAGTTAGCGTAGAGGAGAAGGAAGATGAACTTGAATTCATGGCATTCTCCAAACCACTGGTCTCTGATAATCTGTCTTCTATTGCCTCCGATCTTGCTGTTAGACTACTGTAGTCAACAGGGACGATTTGTGGTGACTCCTGAGCCTCGTTTCGTTGTATGAAAGATGACACATTGCTGAAGGTTACTGACGAGGCACTAGGAGCTCCCATGAAAACGTTGCAGGTTTTGAACCCTTTGAAATCCGCCACTGGGGATTTGGCACCGGAATCGGAATTCGACGGTGACGAACGAAGTGCATATGTTTGATCAGATGCGGAATTCTCGTTCTGAAGTGCCGTGTTGTGAGTAATGACTGAAGTCGAAGATGTTTGTGGCAGCAGGTGACTGGAGATTGACTCCGAGGGAGTCGGTAGTTCGGTTTTCACTACTGGTTTCTTTTCGGTTTCTGTTGAATTTTGAGAACTAGAGGCCTGATTGTCTGATAATACGGTTGTGTAAATTTTATTTTCTCTGTCAATAGCAGGGGTTTTTGAAGAAGAAATTTGGAAACAAGTTACGTTGGATGCAGTCGCGTCTTTGCTTACATTGCCAGGAGCCCGGATGACTTTAATAGGATTACTAGTTGCTGAAATATCAGGTTCACTCGAAATTGTTCGTTTTGCGAAAACTTCCAAATGTTTACTGACTCCAACAGGCCGCTTGATGACACTTGCAGTTTTATCTTCAATGAGCAATTTACTCTGAGTTATTTTCACCACTTTTTCGTAATCGGTGCGATGCGATTCCTCTTTGTTGTATGGAATAACTTTCGTCTTAGCCAAATCGTAACGATCCAAATCAGACTTGACTTGAACTTTATATTCATTTTCTATGCTTAATGGCGCGCTATCAGTTGAAGTTTTTGCAAGTTTATTCGGTATTGAAGCTCTGGGTCCTGTAAGGATTCTTTTGGGGTTTATTTGGAGAACTTTTATGGTGTTTGTTTGCTTAAGCGTTCCAGTCTGTTTTGATTCAGGAGTTTGTGCCTTGCTGGTCGTGCAATCTAAAACTGCTTCAGTCATTTCTCGAATGTTCGCCTGATCTTTCCTTTGGATCGGAGCCGAGTAAGTGCTCTTTGCGACTTTCCCAGGTCGTGGCATGCTGAAAAAATTGACAAGTTGCAAATGGGGGCAAAAACGATGATATTAATCTTATAAATATTTTGCAATTACCCATCAGAATAAATATAGAGAAAATCTAAAATGTAAGTTAGATTAATGATGTTGATTTGATAATTAGTAACTGGGCCTTTGTGCTAGCATGAGTAACGCACGAACTGAATAGTGGCTATCCGACATCTGGCATACGCCATTTTGTGTGACATGTCGTTGGAATAGAAATAGATCGATGGTCGCTTGAACAAATTTCTTATGTGTAAAATTGATGATCAGTTGACTAATTCTAAATCACTTATTTCACCATCATCAGTGATATTCCGCAAAATTTTTGAGCGTGTGAGCAAAAATAACATTGACCGCATCTGATAAAATGAATAAGTTTAGTCGTATTTTGGGATGACAGCTCGAATTTTGCAATACGCCATTATTTGCACTCGCTATCTATAACAAATGTGGTTTAATAAACAATATGATCGTTTTGCGTAGATTTCATATTAGAAAGATTTGAAAATAAAAGTCAACAACGTAAGCTCCTAAAGAATTTAAAAACAATAATTGTCGAGAATTTAAGCAGATAAATCACTGCACTCGTCAGTGTGTCAGAAATTCAGTAAGCACTGCATTTTATACTTATGGTTTTTGGCAGTTATGTGATAAGTTTAATATTCGCTGCACAAACATGCTGCACGTATAATATTCGCTAAACGAACTTTCGAGTTCATCATAAATAATAAAAAAAATATATATGCTCGTATATTAAAATAAGGCTCTCATTGATCCGCTTTCACAATTATTGCTGAATTTTTTATCTATACAAGCTGAGTGTACTAGTGTAAAATATAATATTGATTATATTATAAAATAAAATGATGCAGTATAATATGATATAATATAATATAGTATCATATAATATAATATAACATAATATAAAATATTATACTATATATAATCACTGTACAAAATCAAATAAATGAATATTTGCTACTTACAGAAAAAATGTATAAATAATAAACTGTGAAATTTTTGGGAACTTTGAAGGCTCTCAATTTGAAATCAAAGATTATATTTGGATTCTTCCATACCAAGGATCGCTAAAGTCCAGGCATCAAAGACCCGACACATTAACTTGTCTAGACCACATAGGCCAGCTTTGAAAATTTTGCACGTGTGACAGAGTATACTGAGCTGGGTAGTTGTACAAGTGTGAGATGAAGAGCAGCATCTGTTTCAAATTATATTATCCTAAACACTTGACTTCTTTACTGCACCTGTTTTTAAATCACAACACTTGCCGACATGGCACACACTTTCTACAGATGCGAGTAAAGTCGGCTGAAGCGATCAGTTGTGATTGGGATCCAGTGGGTTCCACATCTTTCTTGCACAAAATTTTGCAGACGCTCGAAAAGTTAGCATGAAATTTTCTAGCTCACCGAATGATGAGCCACGCCATTAACAATGAAACAACAGCGGCCACCTCAGCACTTATAAATGCATGACAAGCAGAAATTTTTCGAATTGTCACCAACTAAGACGGGCTTCACTTCAACACAAGAGCCAAAGTTAAACTGATAATTTCCAGCTGGATGGAGTATGAAGAAGCGAGTGTTTGCCACGAGGGGGCAGCTGCCGTCCGATGGAATATCTCACAGAGACAGACACAGATTTTAATGAGGAGCAGGTGTGAGGGGGAGACGATCGTGCAGGTGTTCTTGCTAGCAACTCTGGCGGCCAACGGACATCTGTGTACATATGCACTGGAAACGGCGCTGAAAAGAGTAATAGAGAGCATGTTGCACACAAATTCATTCACACACACGACAATATCGCAGAAGAAAGCAGTATGGATTTCAATAATGTTTATGATAAATTAACGTTTACTTATTTCTGAGAATTTTGACATGTCTGTCGTGCAATGTTGAAAAATGTCCCCGATATTTGAAGTTTTGCCTTCCGGTGTCGAAAAGAGCTGGGCTTCCGAAGAAGAGAGGATTATTGGTGCCACTCAAATCCGCTGCAAGGAAGACTTATCGGAAACCGGACGTGATGGGGCGTTCTGTCGGTTATATAATGAATGAAGAAAGTTTGTCGACCTGACGATAACTTGATTTTATCAGAGAGGTGGTTTAAAAAGTAACTTAAAAGTAAGTAAAACTTGTATAAAATCTCATATTTTTATAATTTATCCCCAACGTTGCTGAGATAATGTTAGAACAAATTAATTATTGTAGAATTTAAAAAGAAATAATTTTAAAGGAAACTTACAAATATTTACTCATATAGTGTTAGAGAACAAATAGAAAAAAGTAGTTAAATTTTAATGACCAAAGATGGTGTTTATTTGTGCTGTGAGTGAAATATAGGTAAGACTGGAATATATAAATTAAAAAAGACATTAAGAACATAATGGATTTTATTGGCAAAGAAAACCCTGTGCAATTGTGCAAAGATAAGGCATTAGAGCGTAGTAATCGCTTTGAACGAATTTGAATACATTTAAGCTTTATCTCCTTGAGCGCGTTTGAACGCATCGAAGTATTGTATATTTGAGCGAGTTTAAACGCATCAAAGTGTTATATATTCGATCGAGTTTAAACGCATTAAAGCATTATATCTTTGAGCGAGTTTAAATGCATGAAAGCGTTATATCTTTGAGCGAGTTTAAACGCATTAAAGTGTATATATCTGTGCGAATTTAAATGCATGACAGCGTTGTATCTTTGAGCGAGTTTAAACGCATTAAAGCGTTGTATGTTTGAGCGAATTTAAACGCATTAAAGCGTTATATCTTTGAGCGAGTTTAAACGCATTAAAGCGTTGTATGTTTGAGCGAGTTTAAACGCATTAAAGTGTTATATCTTTGTGCGAGTTTAAATGCATGATAGCGTTGTATCTTTGAGCGAGTTTTAACGCATTAAAGCGCGTTGTATGTTTGAGCGAATTTAAACGCATTAAAGCGTTATGTCTTTGAGCGAGTTTGAACGTATTAAAACGTCATCTGTAGGAGCGATTTTGAACGTATTAAAGCGTAATATCTTTGAACATATTAGTATAGTATAGTAATTTGGCACTGAAGAATCGGCCTGTTGCCGATTCTTGTACTTTTCTTGACTAGTTCGCAGATCTCAAAGACTGGCCTTTTGATCAAATATTTTCCACGAACGGTAGGTTTAAAATCGTTTGATTAAAATAAAATTAATGAAGCAGCTATTGCGTTAACATATTGACATGCAAATACCATCAAATATTTAGCACATTACTGGGCTCAGCTGCTCCCGGTCACCGTAAAACTTAATACAGATAAATCATACTTAGCAATTTCCTGCTGACATATGTCTTAGTGGAAAAATAAATACAAAGAACAATAGACGAAGCAAAAATTCGAGAGTTAATTTAATTTTAATTTAAAACTTTCCAATAATTTCAACTATAAAATTCCTAATATGACAACTTAATTTCCGTTCCTTAACCCTCTTTATGAATAGAGATAATTTATGGAGAGTAACTGAAATATTTTTTATAGTATTTCCTTCATTTTAAATTTGTCTCATCGATTGATTACATATTCAAAATAACTATACCTCCTAAAAATTAATTTAATACCCACTAACATATGAAATACCACGAATTTATTTCAGAAATTCTACGGGGGCCACAGTGTTGCAGTAGGACATTTTTCTTGACACAATCTAAGAACAAACAGCTGTCGATGGTTTGCTCTGATAAGAATATCTGAGTGAGAAACATGTTGTAAATATTGTTTATCTTGTGATAGACAACTGGAGAAATGTGGCAATGGTGCCTCGGTTCATGACGGACACCGGAGAATAGGACTACGTAGAATTCTTTGTATTTTTTAGATTTTTGATCCTAAATTTCTAAATGAGTGAAAAACTTTCCGCGCGTCTGCAAAAAAGTTCCTTAGAGTCAGTTGTAATAAAATTTCGATAGCGTCTAAATATATATCAATCAATTCACAAAAAAGTGTTAGAATTGGAAAACAAATTGAATACCACCTTTATCTAATTAAATGAAATCATTAGTGCTATTTATCTATTTAGTGAACAAAATTTTCTGAAAGTTGCTTGTGATAATCAGTAACAATTATAAATAAAAAAATGATTTTCATTTAACTGTTTAATTATCCTATTTCAATGGTTTTGTTCCATTGAAAGTAAATAACACTCCTGAATGAGCCAGTGTTAGATCTCAGCAAGATATTCGTTTTGACTGTTCTTGAGATTAGACGGTGACAGCGATGCTCTGAAAAGAGCGATCTTAAGCGGGCGCTGAGTTGCTCGAGCGCAGTTAATGAAATGAACAAAATACAGGAAAACTGACTTGTACAATTTCAAATTTCTAACATTTTTAAGTTTGGAACTGTTTTAGTTGTGCATTTCTAGCTTAGTAATGATTTGATACTAGGAATAAAGGGATTCTGGTTTATCGAAGTACAAAAAATACGAAAGCTCCCGATGCTGGAGCATAAAGTGATTCAAAAATAAATTCAGAACATGAAACTAACGGCCCATAACGCAGTCGTCAGGTGAATATTGCACTTCATTTGAACTGTGAGCACGGATTCTCCATTGAGTGCATTCATATCACAGGAAAATCAGATTTTGCTCTACTGTTTGCTTGTACCACTACGGATTGTTTGAGTGAAACGTTATACTGCGATTAGTGTTCTATGATTTTTACCCGCTTGGCTCTGTTTTGAAACAAATTATCTACATGCATGTGTTCCAACGATTCACGCTGAATTCAGGTAGAAATGAAAAGATGAAGTTCTTTTAAGTATCAGGATTTCATTCATGGCAAATTGAGGTACAGGTAGAATTAACTTTTACTTCTGAACATAACTGGGTGTCAGCATCGAAATAGCCGTCATTGGGACAATCGAAGTGGGTCATGGAGGGTGGATCACACACATAGAAGCCTTGACAGTTATATGGATCAACAATATTACCCGGCTTGACACAATAAGTCTCACATTTGTCGCAGAATTGGTAACATTTATCATTATAATCGACGCAAGTTTCAGCCTCGAAGTCGAAATAGGCCCCATCTGAACCTCCGGGGCATTCGAATTTCTGATGTCCTCCGCCGCTCAAACAAAGGTAATAGGCCCTGCAATCATATGGGTCAGGTCTCAGGGTGCCAGCTACAGAGCACTGAATCTCGCAGGGGTTGCAGAAGCCCGTGCAGTAATCGACATGAGCGTCGGAGATGAGGGAACAGCGGGCGGGAGTCTGGAAGGTGTTGAAGAAGTAGCCGTCTGGGCACACTTCTCGGGACGAGAGCACAAAATTACCTGCAAGTGATGAAGGAGTAGCGTTAGGGGCGTACTGGATGGATGTCCGGAGTTCATAGACAATGGTTTTCTGTAAAATAATATTATTGCTAATGAGTACTGATAACCTTTATTACGTATTACATTTAAGTTTTTGCCATTGAGAATTAATTTTTCAGTTGTTCAAAGTTTGAGCTTCATTCTTGTTTTGTAGAAAATGGTAATGGTGCAAGAAATATTGTCATATATTCCAGGGAATTTTTTTTTCACTTTCATCTTGGGCAAAGTGATGACAGCCATGTATTGTGCAGCTGAATATAATAAAATAGAGCAAAATTCACATTAACATCTATTTTAGAGTAATTAATGACTAAAAGTTTTTGATTGCACTGAGACTTGAGTGCATTGTAAATAATTAAACTAGATTAGAACCTGATGGCAAGTATTTCACTCAGTATTACCACGACTGGTGTTTAATGTTCGCTCTTACTATCAAAAAGGACTATTTCGTTTCATCTGTGCTATGCGTATTCTTTTTACTGTGACGTAGTGATATGACTCATATGAGCTATCGTAGTGATAAGAGCAAGTTTCTAAAACTGAATCATATTTTCCTTGGATGTGTCGCATATAAGTCAGAATGCAATTTTTTGCGATTTTAGCTTGTGTGTTGTCTAGATTTATAGTAATTATTGTGCTTGCGTTCTTACCGTCTCCGAAGACGTCCACGCAGGTGTAGTAGCCGAGGCAGTTGCTGGGGTCTGGCACCAGAGTGCCGGACTCGGTCACGCCGCTACACGTAGGCGCGCATTTGGACTTCTGGCTCAGCGCCACGGGCTGAAATTTACCGTAAATTTCAAAATAAGATCTTGACTAATAACAACGGCGAAAAATTTCTCCTATCTCTTCAGAGATCCGTGATAAGGTCAAACGGATATGGTTACTTATAGTAACCAATAAATGACTTCGACGGGTTAATACTAAATATTGTTACAAACATCGAAATGAAATTATTGAAATTGAAGCGAACGCTGTCCAGCGCCCTAACTTTGTTATTTAAAAGTTTATCAATCAAGTAAAACTAATTATACAGTAAGAAGCTCGAAGCGAGATAACAAAAATTAAATCTGCTACGCTTACTTACCACAAGTAGAAAAGTTAAGAAAGCACCAAGAATAATCATAATGAGAGGTGTGAGGTTCTGACCCAAATGCTGTTGATGAACTGAGGTGGTACTATCGTGTGCAGTATAGTGGTGGGTTTTATATGTTATCTGTACATCTGAAGTGATATGCGGAAAGTTGACCATGTGACGGAGAAGAGATTTCCAAGAACATATGTTGCCATCTTTCTGGTTAATTTTTGAACCTTGATCTCCCGTGAAGGGTCGTAAGCGAAAACTTAAGCTGCTCATCAACGAATAAGGAAAAAAAGATAACCATTTTGTTTTTCGACAAACAAGAACAGAAACGATAATTATTTCAAGATGGTGAGATTATTCATTCGAGGTATTACAATGATCATAATGGCAATGTCCTGCTTGGAAAGTGACAACGTAATGGAGATGAACTTTATCTTGAATTTTAATTAATTGAGAGTAATTCTCTTCTAGATGTAAAAAAATCGACATTCTACAACAATCTAATTGACTTTCATAACATAATGATATGAAAGAATTTTATCAACATGCAATTTATAGTGCAATATGAAACGCGTTTTTAGAGAAAATACAGTTTTTAGATTACGTCACCTCAGCGCTGTGGCCGTGGAGCAACATATGTTGGGAAACCACAGACGTCAATACAGAACCATCCTTTGAGTCCACATCTGTTTACGTACGCGACCTATGCCTCCACGTATTAAAACTTCATGTATCCACTATGTATCCTATGCCTCCACGTATTAAAACTTCATGTATCCACTATGTATCCTATGCCTCCACGTATTGAAACTTCATGTATCCACTATGTATCCTATGCCTCCACGTATCCACTTAATTCTGAATGCAAGGTGGGAGACTTACTGCTGGCGAAACACATGTTAGTTTCTAATTAATTTTCATTTGCTAAATAAACCTAAAGTTGTGGCGAGTCTCTACTATTACGGGCACGCAGTAGAATATTCAATTAATGAATTTCACGTTAAAAATTCGAGCCGTAATTATTCTTTTTTTGGATATCTTAACATTTCACCTTCACTCTCACGAGAAAGTGTTTCAAGACAATGTAAGTTTTTAACAGTTTCAAAATTCTATTCAAAGTTCGGACGAACGTGCAGGCAATTTATCTTAATTCATTCTATGATGTTAGAGATAAAATGAAATTAGTTGTTTGTGGTATGTCTTACATTTCGGTGTAAGTAAATAAATGAAAAATTTATCTCATAAATTTTTAAAAAAAGCAAATGCAAAATATGCCTATGCTCATAAAAGGGTTAATAACGTCAGGGCCTAACAATTATCAGGAATAAACTAATTTATTAATTTGATGTTAATTTTTAGGTAATGTCGCTAGATAATATGAGTACTACCTTCACTACAGTTTGCAAAAAAATTCATCCAATTCTTTGACAGCTTTTTCGGAACGAATTAGGAAATCAAACCAATACTACTATACTATGAATAGTTGCTTAATTTAACGAGTTTTGGGTCATCCGGAAAATGTTAATATTATTTTACTGAATAAGAATTACTGGTAAATGTTCGTAAATGGTTTAAGATATTTACTCCAAGCCATGAGCATACATGGCAAATATTACTGCGGGAATCTCTAGCTAGTATATATAAGAGCATGTTCAGCATCAAGTACTATATAATAGACTTGTGATTCATGTCCTGTACACGTTGAAGCGTTTACCTGCTTTTGAGTGGGGACTTTCCAACGTCCTTGCAGCGAGAATCAAACGATGGAAATGTTTTAAGGCGTTTGATTTGATGTTTGGAAGGTAGTAGTTAATGCAGAACTCTTGAGCTTAAACATTTTCTATTTTTAGCGCATTTTCTCATTTATGGAAAAAATGAACTATTGTGCTCGCCATGTCCGTCTGTCCGTCCGTCCGTGACTTCACGTTTTCGTCGACGAGAAAATGTGCTCTCTGTCACTCACTGCAGTGAGTACTGAGTTATATTTTTTATATTTTTGTTTCGCCAACGACTTTTCTTTAAGTAGGGTAACGTGGGGCAGCGCGCCCCCCACTTTTTTTAAACTAAATTTGTGATGAAGTTTTAATTGATACGAGGTGGTTCTTTGTTTTGTTTAAAGGTACAACTAATGAGGAATGTATGATGTGAATTAGACGCCTATAGAGTTATTCAATTTTTAATGAAACACTATTTTGTAAAAAGTGTCAAAATGGGCCCATTGCCCCACCCCTGGGGCAATGGGCCCAAGCGGTAGAGAACACGGACCAATATCTGCCATACTTAGCGAGAAACCCGCTATGGGCCCGTGACCCGCAGTGGGCTCGCTGCCCCATGTTACCATACCTAGTAAAAGTGATCCTGCTGTGGCACAATTCTTGGCCATGCACTTCAGCAGTAATTAAGAATCTCTTTGATGTATTCTATTATTGTAGATGTACCGCCAACCATCTTCTTCTAATTTTTGTCAATAATAATATCGCAATTTTTGACAGCTAATTTTGAATCATGTAACAGGAGTTTGATCTACATTATGAAAAGCGATTGAAATGAAGCTTTAAATCAGAAATACATAATTTTCCAGCCTGATCCCCACACGAAAAATATGTAAAAACGCAGCCAAAGCAAACTAGAAAATTGGGTTGATAAAGCATCCTCCAAACGGCTTTTTTATTTAAATGATGCCCATATAGTTGGATAATAAAATGGTGGATTAATCTAACTTCCGATAACTTACAAAAATAGGTCAGTTCACAAAAAGGCCAAGATCAAATTACGACACAGTAACTATGAATATATCAGGTGAAAAAAACAATGATCAAAGTTTCTGATGTATTGTGGTCAGAGATAATTCCTCAAATTATTTACCGTTGAGTTTGATGCCGATTTCCCAAGGTTATTTGAAACATTATGGCCTGCATTGAATGACACATTCTGCAGCATTACAAGAACCAGTGTCAGCGTTAAATACTTCGCCATTTGGGCAAGTGAACTGCGTAATGAAGGGTGGATCACATGAATAGAAACTGTGACAATCGTAGGGATCGACAATGTTACCTGGTTCGACACAGTACGGGTTACATTCGTCACAGTATGGGTAGCAGTTTCCAGTAGATGAGATGCAAGTTTCAGCAATATAATCGAAGTAAGTGCCGGCATCGCATTCAAATTTCTGATGACCTCCTCCGACTAAACAAAGGTAATATGTCGTGCAAGAATTTGGGTCAGGTCTTAGGGTGCCAGCTACAGAGCACTGAATCTCGCAGGGGTTGCAGAAGCCCGTGCAGTAATCGACATGAGCGTCGGAGATGAGGGAGCAGTGGGCAGGATTCTGGAAGGTGTTAAAGAAGTAGCCGTCTGGGCACACTTCTCGGGACGAGAGCACAAAATTACCTGAAAATGTCAGGGTAGCGTTAGGGTCTTGCTGGGAGGACCGGTGAAGTAAATGTTTTATCTCATTTTGAAATTCCCGCGCAAGTCTCTGTTACAAGAGTCAATGATGTCAATGACGGACAATTATTACAACAATCTCAATGATTTTATCTACGAATATTTTGGCCCGTGGATTCATTACTAGATCAGCAAAAATGGTTTCGATAGTGTCTCAAACTGAGTCATATTTATCTTGGGCGTGTCGCCCAAGAAAGCAATTTTTCCACCACTTTAGCTTGTGTGTTGTACAGATTTATCATAACTGTCCTTGCGCTCTTACCGTCTCCGAAGACGTCCACGCAGGTGTAGTAGCCGAGGCAGTTGCTGGGGTCTGGCACCAGAGTGCCGGACTCGGTCACGCCGCTACACGTAGGCGCGCATTTGGACTTCTGGCTCAGCGCCACGGGCTGAAATTTACCGTCAATTCATAGCAAAAGATATCGACAGATTACAGCTGTGATCAGTCTTCTAGATATGTTCACATTTATGGGAATGAATTAAAACGCAATATGCATTTTATAGTCTTTAATGCGATTGGATTCCTTAGGAATAAACGCTGCTCCGAATTAGATCGGATTGACAGTCACTACGGTCTAGATTTGATCATCTACAAATACAATTAAAAAAATGCCTTGCAATGCTACCAAGATATTGTGAAATATATTTTATTGTAAAGGTACATGGAAAAAATAATGTTGGCATTGATAAATCAAGACATTGTTTTATGACATATGTTCCCAATTTTAAAGTTAATCGAATGATCGACGTTAAAAAAATCCTAGAAAATTTTCCGATTGGACGGTCTTCAACATTTTTCTATAAAGAGAACAATTCTGTAATAAAAGACAGGGCTATACATTTGAGTGTATGCTATATTTTGTTACTTACAAGGCTCAAAATGATGAAGTAGCTGCACACAACAAACCTGAACATGACTCGTACTAGATCTAATCGTTACTGACTAGAGGCGAGTGGATAAAGGTACTCAGAAATCATGCGAATTTCTCATAATTTAATAAAGAATAAGTACCATTTACATGAGAACATACACCTGAATACCTGTAAACTAGATTACGTAGTCGAAGAAATTCTGACTAAGATTTTCCATGAATTACATGTGACGAAATATAATCAGTTATCGGTTACATCGACCATAAGAAGGTCACGCCAGCTGCCTTTACAATAGAGCTGTCACACGCTATAAGAGATCAATATTTCTGCGTAATAATATAATATATTACGCAAAAATATATATAAATTAATGTTAATATCAATACCGTCCATATTAAGTCAATATCAAGTCAATATAATTAGTTAGCTTTGTCAATACAACTTATTTTTTGACTAAAGATTTTCGGTGAATTTTAAAATTTTTTCAAATGTTTATCTTTTACCGTCCAATAGTCAAATATGAATGCTCGACACTATTTCATCGTAACAAAACAAAAAGGAATAGGCATATAAGATGGATTAAAATTAAACTTTTTGAAAATGGTCAGCAGCAATGCTGAGGGTTCTTAAAGACTCACGGAAAAATATATGTTCAGATTTGAAATGCCTAGCACCATATCGAACCCGGTGGAAGTCGAGTAGCTATTTCAAACTATCGTCAGTCATGAAAAGATCCGGTCAAATGAAACGATATTAGATCTTTGTGAACAAGGCACGAAAAGGAAAAGAATCGGCGACAGGCCACATCAGGCCTACACTTCAGCGCCGAGATCCCTATGTTATGTTTTATTAAAAAAAATAATAATAATAATAGCGGTTTCAGCGTTTATTAGGCCGTAGACCTGTCGCCGAGGTTATGTTATGTTATGACGGTGTTTTCTTCATGCAAAGAAAAGGACATGAAAAGCCCGTCAATATTAAGCTTCGTTAAAATACTTTAATAACCTATTACTATCAATCTTAAGTTGAGGAATAGAATAGTGTTTCGAAAAAACCACTGCAAATGATGACAATGTAGAACTGCAGATCCTCACATTTAATTTTTATGCACTCGTATAATCTGTAGACATCTAAAAGGTTCGCAACTTACGGTCCGGCGGAGTATTCGTGAAATTGCTCGATGTGCATAATCATATATTTGGTGAAAATATTCGATGAAGATATCTGGCCATCTCTACCAAAATCATAAGTAAGAATAATTTACAAAACATTGATCTGTAACTCGACATTTCGAAACACATTTTACCTCAGTCACCACGTCCAAGAAGTGTTTTCTTACTTAAATTTTCGAATAAATAGTTTTCTTTCAAGTTTTCAGCTAAGACTTGACATTTTTTGCTTTTTTAGTGCAAAACTAATGATATATTTCAATATAAAAACAAGATTAAAGACCTAACACGAAAAATTCTAATAAATGGAATGGCACATTGGTTTTGTACCCACATTACTGCAAAATATAATGACAGTGCTACTCATCTCAATAGAGCATAACTATGTAACTCTCTAATAACAATAATAAAAATAATAATAATAATAATAATAATAATAATAATAATAATAATAATAATAATAATAATAATAATAATAATGATAATAATAATAATAATAATAACAATAAATAATATAACAATAACTCTCTAATAATTCATTATACGTGAATCATGGTAAACGATGGGAATGGGAGCGTTTAAAGGTACCTGCGACACTGATATGAGACATCATGTTCGTTTTTATTCCCATCAACCTATTGATATTCATTAAAAGTTTCTCACAAGTAGAAAGGGAAAGAAAATTGGCATTCTGCACATAGTGTGTGTTAATTAGATTATTCCTAATGTAATGTCTACCTCAAATTGAAAATTTAATTTTTACGTCTATTCGATTTTGTCTTCTGTGGTTTATTGAAGAGTTCACAAGTTTGATATGCAGCCCCGACTTCATTAACGAAGATGCTGCGTAATAATACTATGCGCTTAAAAATTACTTTTTGAAGACAACACTTCTAAAGAATACAGTGTCTCCTATGTTACACATCTACAATGAATTTCTAATTTTATTTTCATATATTAGTAAAAATTCATTTTTATTTTTTTAAATATTAATATATGAAAAAATAAAATAAATTTTCAAAATTATTTATTCTGTCAATTGATTCATGCCTTGTCTTCAACTTTGCACAAGTGCGCAAAATTTCAGATTGATTGGACAGGTAGAAGTGTGTTGAATATCGATTATAAGATCTGTAGAAGACAAAATTATTTTTTCAATTTTTCAAATTAAAAAAATTTTTTTTTTATTTTAAAATTATATATTCTGTTAATTGATTCATGCATTGTCTTCAACTTTGCGTAAGTGTGCCAAATTTTAGATCAATTGGACAGGTAGAAGTGTATTAAATATTGATTATAAGATTTGTAGCAGACAGACAAAAAAACAAACAGACAAGAAGTGAAGTTAAAGAGAAGTGTTGTAAAAACAAGGTTGTCTTGCAAGTTAAAGTTTAATCACGTTGTATTCAAATTTGTTTGAGATTTTAGATTGAAATTTTTACATTTCCTTAGACGCAATCATATACAGTATAACTAAACTATGATTAAGCTTAACTTATTTTAGTGACTAACTCTAATCAATAGTTTACAACTAGTGAGTCTCTTTCCGTATCTAATGGTCTACAGCGTCTGTTAGTTACATTCAAATCTTGACCAGTGATCAAATTCTAATTACCACTATTTGGCGCTTTTTCCGAGGCTGAAGTTGGTCATTGTCATAAAGACGTACTATGTTGGTGAAAGAAGTGTGTTGATTTTTCACAATAATGCTAGAGCATGTGTTGTTTCTCATGGTCAGCCGTCCCTTGTAATCTGGTTAAGAATCTGTATCACTGGTCCACAGTTGCACGAAGCCATCAGTCACAACAAGCCTTGCAGTTTGGTGGGTATGGAGTTTTTTTGCATATTTTTAAAAATTATTTACCCAACTAGTTTCATTTTTTGGTTAATATGTCTTGTTATGAGTAAAATTAACAGCTCATTAGAAATGTTTAGGTACAACTCATCCAATTTGAATATTACTCCCTCACTTGAATCATTTTAGTATCGTAAATCCGTACGTAAAATAGACTAATTAAGACCGTGCATTGCGCACAATTAGCACCAAAATTTCTTTAGTAAAACTGAACAAGCTTGCTACTGAATAACTTTGCTGATTTATAAATGCCACGATAATTAATTCTGCCATTGGTCAGAACTTGTGATATAACTGTTGTTTTTCCAGGTACAAGATAACGTACGGGAAGGCCGATATGGAACTAAGACTGGCTTCAATTTTACTTATTTGGATGGTAAATATAATTATAACATTTTATTTGAATTGCTGAAGGTTTAAAAATACTTTAAAGGAACACAAATTTACATTAAATATTTATAAAATTTAAAAAAACATATGGGAAAGAAGTGATTTTATATTCAAAATAATTTTTAATTAATCTGGTGGCAGAACTTAACAATTAAAATATTTTATTTGAGTTCAGATGCTCGTTGGAACGCGTGCGTCGTGCGTCCCGACATGTAAAGACTCGACGGTTAACATCACTGAAGGCAGCCGCGTTCCCAACCCGGCCAACTGCTTCGAGTTCTACGTCTGCAGCGACCCTTTGGGCGGAAACAATTTGACTCTATCTCCGGAACCTATCAAGTGTCCGAACGGGTAAGAACAAAAACAACTTGGTTAACTAATTGTCGGGTTGACACTACCTTGATAATTGAATGATACACTACCTTGATTATTGAATGATACACTACCTTAATTGAATGATACCCTACCTCGATTATTAAAATTTCCGGGATTGAGAGGCTTCATTATTTTCATATTGGATTCAGTCATAGTGCTCCTTTCGCGTCTGGTCTCATTCTTGAGCATGTATAATTAGCTTAAGGTTGTCTCGATTATTTTCGACGTAGAATAGCTGTACAGTCGTACCACGAGGAACGAATCCCGAGTTACAATTTTACTTTGGTTTAATGAAATCACCGGACGCGATGTCTGAAACTCGATGCGTGAACTGTTCTTGTTGGCGCGATTCGAAACGAAATGCAAGTAAAGATTGATTTTTCTTGACTGCCAAGTCTGACTCCAATGAACGTGTAAACAAGAAGTTAATTGTTTTGAAGTGTGAGTCTGGAAGTGCCTGCATGTTTATTTTCTGTTTTTTTTTCTCATATATAATCGGTTTTCAGATTTTCTTTTTATAATTCTATGTTGCTTTTGACGTATTGGGCTCGTTTTAGGCCGTGTTTCGATAAACGTGTGATTTTTTATTTTCTGTTTTGTGGTTGAAAAATTTGAGACTATCACAAATTTACTTCGTATATCATACGATGACTGTGCATTTATTTTTTCACCGGAAGTTTTCAGTTTCAAGATGACATTTGTTCATATAACGAATCCTCATGAACGTTCTTTGTGTATTTCAAGCGGCGCAGTTCTACTGACATTGCTCATTATAAGTAGAGTTGCGGTCAGCCGCGTTGTTCTTTTGTTAGGATTCATAATTATCCTGGCTAGACTAGGATATTGTGAATTTTTCAAGATATTATATTAATTAGACAAGCAGCAAAAAATCTTAGGATAGACGTGCTCCATCTCGAGAAATGAGATATGTAATTTATTTCCTTGAAGAAGTTAGTTGTTGCTTGGCTGAACATAAAAGCCTGGATCGAAGTCTGTGACATGATACGAGTAGATATGCGATATGCTTTCCAATGGCTGCTGCTATCGGTTCATTATCATAAAATATGACTATCACTAACAGTTTATGCTTGTCAAATTGAATTTTTAACAGATGTCTTCATTACTGTCGTACGTTCCGGGGTTTTTGAAATAATTTAAATTAAATTTGGTGCAAATTTTACAATAATGGTGACAATTACCGGATACCCGTTTATGGGAATTTTTGTAACACTACCAAAGGTTAGTGTTATAAAAGTTACAGAATGACTTAGGCTACTCTTCTAAGTAAAAAATTTAAAATCTCTCTTACCGGCAGAACATACTTCGATGTGAGCTCGTCTAAGTGCAAGACGATTCCTTCAGATGGCAGCGCGTATTGCGAAAACTTGTGCGATCCTTGCGATCTGAAGTGCGAGGCGCCTGGTGGGTTTGCACTCAGTTTGGTCAGCCGTAAATGAATACATACGCATTAAAATAATAATTATTATAGAAAAACAGGGATATTGCAACTTTATTCTGATGAATCGGTATTCGTAGGTTATTTGTTATGTTTTGTAACGAATTTTTGAATTTGAAGTGGAAAAATTTTTGCTGCTCCTCTAAACAAGCCTTGAAAAAAAAAAAGATTAGTAATTTTTTTCTCTTTCCCAGGTACTTTAATTCCCGACCCGTATGCGTGTGATTCCTACTACATTTGTTTGGCGAACAATGAATCCATAATTTCTAACTGTGGTGATGATCAAAGCTTCGACTACATCCAGGGAAGCTGTGTGGCCACCTCTGATGCTGTGTGTTACAAGTCCTGCGATCCATGCAAAGTATACTGCGTTCATGAGGGCAAAGTGCCCAACCCTTTTGACTGCGAAGGATACATTTATTGTGAACCTCCATACGGTCAAACAGAGTTCAAGTGTCCTCCTGATCACCAATATGAAATCGGTTCTCAGAAGTGCGTTCCATACGGTGACCCAAATCAAACTTGTGATAATACTTGCACCGACGATCTTACCACTACTTCTGTTACAAGTACCACAACTGAGACCTCACCTACCACTACGGCTGATCAGCAGTAGCAGTGTCTGCAGCCAGGCTTGATATTGATTGAGAAGTCGAGAGGTTGTTTGAAGTATGTTCTTGATTTTAGTATTGGATCATATAACAAACTTATGTATTGAACGCACATTTTTTATAGTTACCTAAGCTTCGGGTTAAACAGCATAGCCTGCTCATGAAATCGTGTTCTACATTTAGTTAAAGCGTCATACAAAAGAAACGTTCTCAAGTTCCTTCAATGCACTTTATTTCTTTCCGGCAGTGCTTTTTTTTAATAACTTTGGACGTTGTTTTTACCATATTTCGAGATGTTAGGACCAAATTTTGTCAAGAAGCCCTCATGCTACACTGTAATGTAGCTCAATCCGTAAGGTAATACATGAATTATTATAAATACATTTTAATTCATAAAATTTATAGTAAAATTGTCGTAAACTATTAACAAAATGAAAAATCCTTATCACGCACCAAGTTACTAATTTGTATTCTCTCCACAACGTTTTGTGTTGGAATGAACATTTTGTGCATTAAAAATATACTGGAAAAATATATCATAAATGATTCACTTACCTGAAGCTTGCGAGTCCTACGAGACTAAGAATGTTAGTCCGTTAACGTAGAGTGGCCTGAACGTGATATGGTAGTAAGCATTTAATTGTCCTGCCCATTTTGATGTGGTACCAGGTAAACTATGTTCTACAGGACTTTTTAAAAGCCAACATTCTCCTACGTTGTAATGTATATTTGTAAGAAATTTTGTCACTGATTCAAACCACTTTCGGATGAACAACTGGTTTTTATTCCTTCATAAAGCATACGGTCGCAGTCGCACTGTAACTGCGCTATATTCTCTTCAACAGGTGCTAGGGAGATTTTGAGCCGTGCAGGCAGCTTGAGGTAGGCAGGGTTTTCAATGATTTGGTAGCGAGCAATTAAGTATTGTGATTGAAGTGATTAATTAGAGTAATTAAAGTGATTAATTAAAGTAATTAAAGTGATTAATTAAAGCGATTTAAGTGATTATTTAAAGTGATTAACAACTATAACTCAAAACTCGGTCGTGGGGCCGCATTGGACTAGTCTTCAGAGGCTCCCGCAAATTTAAAAAGAAAAAAAAAGTAACTGCGCTATACTCCCGCCTTTTGTTGTCGTTCACTCTGCGTAACGAATAGGATGCGCAGCATTGTTCGTGCTCTTGTTAATGATCAGCGTCGAGAGTGACTGCAATCTCATGTCGCGTGAATTACGAGAAATGAGCCTGTAATTTTATAAAAAATGCTTCACTGAATATCGCTCCTGTGGTTATTAGATTACCGCAGTGGTGACCTTCATGATCTCTTGAGTGGGGGGTAAGCCTTTGGGATCTTGTGTACGGTGCATGACACAACGATGACTTTAGTTTAAAGTTCTATTCTGTTGATATGCACAATTTTCAAAATGTAAAAATGCATAGCATAAATGCTGGCATACATACCACTAGCTATCGGTAATTCTGTGGCCGAGCTTAGCTTGATTAGAATATTAAACCTATTTTGTGTATTTAATGGTCATTCCGGGTGGACCGCATGGGCACCAGATTTGTATTCTACTTCGAGGTTCAGAGCACTTCGAGTAAAGCTCCTAGAAATTCCTACTGTATTGCAAGATTTGAAACAAATAAACTTCACCTGAGGAGAAAACCTAGTTCGTGGAATCAGGGAGGTCTCGTTTGCCGTGAATGAATGTGTGAACAAAATTTTCAACAGCGGTATTAGGCCTTTTAATGCCAATGGTTACTCTTGCTTTTCGCAAGATGTTTCCGCAATAAGTCATCCATGCGTTTTTGTGTTATGATTTAGGGGTGTACGGTGAAAAGGGCTCGTTGTTGTATACTTGTTAGCATGTCTGGTCTGTATGGGCTAACGGTACTCGAGACAAACTAGGTTTCAGTTTTTTCTTTGAATATCCCAATGAAGCTTTGTACCTCTAGTTTGTGAGAAGTTTCTCATTATTACTATAGCGTCCACAATATGTAGGCATAACCTTTAAATGTTGGAAGCTCTCGCCAACAGTCAGTCGAGCCAGAACACCAGCAGTCAGTCGAGCCAGAACGCGTCTAGAACTATCAATCCGTTAACTGCGAATCGGACCGTAATATGAAAGAGAGTTCGAATAGGCTAACGGTGAACAATGGATCTGCATTAGTGACGCAATCATTTCAGAGAATCTATTGATGCCACCGTTCTGTTCACCAGCGCTGTTCACAACCAATCAAAAAGTCAAATCTCTCAATCAATCAATCTCAAATCTCAATCAATAAGTCAAAGTCTCAAATATCTTCCTGGAACCTTTGTTGTCCGGTAAGAAAGTTGTACTAACGTCATTTCAAAATTGCAGTGTTGCAAAGTGTTGCAAAACTCTTCCACTACTTGATAATGAATGAAACCTGCATATATATGTAGTCCGCAGTGGACTTCTTCCTAATTCGGACTACACTGGAGTAATTAGACCAACAACTACGACTTGGAGTATTTCAAACAAACAACTTCAACTCAAAATTATCGATGAATTCAACTTGCTTGGTGATGCCTTTGACCCTTGACAACAACGTCGACTCGACTCGACTCGTCGAGTCGAGTCGAGTCGAGTTTGACGTTGTTGTCAAAGGGATCACTAAGCAAGTTGACTCGACTCGACTCGAGGTCAGGATAGTGAATAGTTTACGAACACTGCCAATACACAATACTCAATGATTTAATAAGAAATCACTAGTTTTACACGGAGTTTTTCATTTTATTACAAGAGTGTGCGTGAGACAAAACTGGCTGGCTGGAATTATTTGCAATTGGGAAAAATCAATGAGGCGGAGACGGCAACAATCTTTACAATCTAAATTTATTCCTACCGTTTTGAATTCGATTCTGTTGATTAGTCTTTTCACCAGACGATTCAGTTGGTCTTAGAATTTTCTCGTTGGAATTACGGTGACTGTTCTTGCCATAGTCTGCCATTTTATTCTGCGACTCAGATTCAACCAATGATGAATGTTTCTAATTTTCGTAAATTTTCCGCAGTCTCGCGATATTGCGCAATATCCGGAGCTCCTTCACATAATCCAGTGACTAATGAGCGGGGGTGCATATCAAATCCCATGAATACCTTGATAAGGTAAAGAAAATACGTAATTTATGAGAAATAGTATATCCTTCCGTTAAACATGAATTCTAGCTGATGTCACCACTTGGTCGGTTATGAGCTGGCACATGAAGGACCAGATGACTCAATACCTCTAAACTTTATTTTATGCCACGGAATGTGGGACAATTAAATTAGATTTACTTCTTTTCCGTGAAGACTGTGAAAGTGGGAGCTGCTTTTAGTAACACGAAAGATAAAGATGGCGAAAGCGTCGGAGTCTTAGCTAAGTTCGCTTTATTCTGCAACCAACAACATTAAATAGCATTACTTTTCTACGACAAATTCAATGGTAAAGGGCTGTAAACTGTCTCAAACTCAATTATGAAACGCTTCCTGACCTGATGTCATCGTTATCAACATTGACTATTCACTATTATCTGCTGAAGAGCATTATCTTTGCAACAACATATGTTTATCTCACGTCCTACTTATAAGTTGTACCTCATTACCTGACGTGTGCAATGAATTAACATCAGTGGGTGTTGGCACAGTTTCACGAATCCTACATTCATAGCTAGCCTTGTATAGAAAAAAAGGTTCGTTATTTGATATTTTTGGCCTGTATTTATAACATTATTTCAGATTTTTACCTAATGTTTCCACTTTTTCCAGTGTTTCTTCATTTTTTTTCAACACACGTAACGACCAATAATTTAATTGCAGGTAGAACTCGGCCACTGTTAGACTCGTCACTCATCACAATTTTTTCTCTTGGTAATGCACCTAATAGCGGTAATGCGATAATAGTTTATCTAATTTTTTTCATCAGCATTAATAGCAATACTTTTTTAAAAAAATACACTCAATAATCTCCCCGCAACACTAGTACGAGGACTTGAAGAGAACTTGAAATCGACGTTTTCGAGGAATCATGCGACTCTCTCTATGACCCGACTGTTATATTTATATTTATGCACTTATATTCTCTCTCTTATAATTATGAATTTTCCTGTTACAGGATCAAGTTTCCGAAGAAAAAAATGGAGTATAGCCTGCTTCTAAGTCTGCTCATGTGCGCGGTAAATATCTTCCAAATCATTTAATAAATTATCTTAAGGACTGTCTCATGTTTCAAAGTATTCGCAATTTTGAAAAGATCGTATAAACTCTAAACATTTTGTTTAGGAGTAAAAGGTATGATATTATAACGCAATATTCTTTGAGACACGCAAACATAAAAATCATGACGTTAAATTTCCGCCAAGATGATCGTTCGTACGCATGCGTACTGCGTCGCATCGTGCGACGACGCGGCGGGTGAAGGCAGTCTCGTGCAAAACCCCAGCAACTGCTTCGAGTTCTACGTCTGCAGCGACCCTGATGGTGACGGTAGCCTGCAACTCTCAGACGAGGCTCTCACTTGTTCTACCGGGTGAGTACGAAGGCGATATCGCCACCCGAGTTTGGACGATCGATGAAGTCTCGATAGTTTATAGTTTACGAACACTGCTGCATTTGATCAGAAGTCACTAGTTTTACACGGAGTTTTGCATTTTAATACATGAGTGGGCGTGATAAAAAAAGTGTCATTATCATAAACGTTGTTTCTTAAGTTGAGGATACAATAATGTTTTAATGTTCAATTTACCAAAACCTTCATAGTTTAGATGCCAATATTTATATTACGATTTGGAGAATAAAATGTTGAATGCAATTTGTAATTTTTTTGACAAAGTAATAATTGGAGAAATGTGCAAATTGCAATTTACAATAAAATACGATAACGCGTGTCAATAGTCCACATGTTCTGCACGCATTTTTCTGCGATATAATTCTTCCAAAATCTGTGTATACCGCGATTCTTGATGCGAATGTGAAAATTCTAATGAAAACCAACCTACCGCCAGGATGTACTTTGACGATAATACGTCAAACTGCGAGGCGATACCTACCGACGGCAGCCAGTACTGTGACAACTTGTGTAACCCTTGTGATGTGCAGTGTGGGATACCTGGTGAGTGCGTAGGTAGATCTGCTAAAGGGAATAACAGATTGACAGTTTATAATTTAATTGCAGGTAGAACTCGACCACTTTTAGACTCGTCACTTGTCACAATTTTTTCTTCGGGTAATGCACCTAATAGTGGGAATGCAATAATAGTTTATATATATTTTTTTCATCAGCATTAATAGCTGATGCTTTTCATGATCAGCATAATAGCTTTTACTACCAATGAGTCTTATAGAAAATATTGTTGCCCTATTTTGGTGGATACTCTGAAAAGGAGTTTCTTTTATATGATAAAGCTGTGCATAGACATTCGTTTGCAAAGACATTATATATAGTTTGCTCTTTCCGACCTAATTATCATCTCTTCTTTACTTTTCTGCCTCAGGTACTTTGATTCCTGACCCCTACAACTGCCAAAACTACTACATTTGTTTAGCTAACAATGAAAATAGACTAGGTTCGTGTAAAGAGGGTGAAGAATTTGACTATATAAAAAATGTGTGTTCGACTGAGCCAGGCGTATGTTACAGTGCTTGTAATCCTTGCACCGTATACTGCGTTAAAGAGGGACGAGTGCCTGACCCCTGCAATTGTGAGGGATACATTTACTGCGAACCTCCATCTGGCTACGTTCATTTTGATTGTCCTAGCAACAGTTCCTACGAACCTTCAAGTAATTCGTGCGTTGAATACACTTCTCCCGTGACTAGTTGTGATAAAACTTGCACTGAACCATCATGTCCAGCTGCATAAGTTCCCATGGCCGGCAGTGTTCAATTACATGAGGTGCATATCTTACCTTGATGATTCATGTGATATTCTGAGACTTTGATGCAAATAAACCATTTATCATAAGAAAATAAAGTTAAATATTTTTTTAAACACCATGAGAATAGATTGTTTTGATACTATATACAACGGCTGACTTGTTTGTAATGCTTAGATTTTCAGACAATTTTTCTTGAGTTTTTAAAATAAAAGACCTTCAAATTTTGCATGGTGATTATTTTACCTTTTTAATTTAAACGCTGTGACGGCTTGAGATTTTTTAGAAGACCAAAGACAATATAGTGATCTTTTATAGTGATATCTTGTATTTTTCAGTCGACCAATGTTTCCAGAACAGTTTAAAATTTTATTTAATCAATTATATTTGGAGTCAATAATTAAAAAAACTACAATTCGCTTGAGTCCAATTGGTTAACCACAATTAAGGGTATAGTATATTAAAGCTAAACCCGGAGAGATAATCAATAGGTAGATGAAACTTTTTTATGATATTTTGCCGAATGTCTGCCTGGTAAACTTTATATTTTTGAAACGCCACTATTTTCTTATGACGAAACAAGCGTTTTTTTATCAGGATAGAGTGATCGATGGTGAAGTATGAAGCAGGCTTACGACCAAAGTGTAATGAGTGTAAATTTTGTTGAATGCAAACTTTTAACACAATATGAAAAATATAGATAAGAAATTTTGAGTTCAGGATAAGCTGCCTGTGCAAATATGGCATGACCTGTTATAGTTGATTAAAACGTAGTTTCATGTTACGGGAATTATATTTTACTACGAAATTAATTGATTGTAATGGCTAGACTAAGCACACAAAGATGTTGATAGGCGCGGAAAATTTAAGAAAATCTTTCAGAGGTATCATCGATTTTTATTCAATAATAGATATTTTTTTCGAACAGAAAATCATTTCATGATGCGAAATATGCTAGAGAAATATATTATCATTTAACTGGAAATACTAAAGAAACATGCTATCAGGCATGCAAATAATGCGAAATATGTTATTGATGGATAACTTTCAAAATCAAATCAGAACTAGCAAAAAGCATAAATTTTCTCGGCTTTATTTTCTGAATTGTTGCGACCGTGCGGCCAATCCTGATTTGACGAATGAACAATTCTGCACTGCGTGTCAGAATGACGCACTTGCAAATATTACGAGCCATCACCGATGCATTTGGGTTATTGGTGAAATATTCGTCCAGCCGACACGCATGATTCAATTCCGCGATGAGAAATTATTGTAGAGTAAATTACAGGTTAAGATTGTGCATGTGCCCTTTTGTTGAAGAAACTAAATGCGAACGCGGAATTTTTTTATTTTATGTTAGCTGTGTGATTCACATATAGTAACTTCGGTTGCGAAAGAAATATAATTCTGAAATGGATATATTTGTACTCAACGTCAACATGTAAAGGAAAAAAGTTCAAACATCATTATTTCAATGATTTCTGATATAAGAAAATGGACTAAACCGTGCACACAACTTGTTTTTGTTCATTGCAACTTAATATTCTTTGTCATTGATGAACGTCATTGGAATTAGGACTAAAATAAAACAAATAAAAAAACTTTTCAAAACCACGTTTTCTTAACGGACAAAAAAAGAAAAACATTTACTCATACATAACATTAAAGTTATGTAAAATGTTATGTAAGAGTAAATGTTTTTCTTTTTTGTCCGTTAAGAAATTGTGGTTTTTTTAAGTTTTTTTTAGTTGTTTTATTTCATTATTTTTAGTTTTGTAAACACCAGAAAAACGTGGTTTTTAAAAATGGTTTTGTATATTTATTTATTTTTTACCTTTTAGTTTAGCAATTTTAGCAATTCTAAAATTTAGCGAAAAAAACTCGATTCCCAACCGTGAATTTTTAGGCTTTTTTTAAATAAAAAAAAATATTTTTTTAATTATTACTTCTGAAGATAAAATCTTGAATTGTTAGGCAGCATAAGCATGCATGCCAAATTTCAAGTTTCTAGGACTTTCAGAAGTACTCTAAATTAAGGTTTGAATTTTTGATGACAGAGACGAAGCGAAACTAAGAAAAACGTGGTAATAAGACCAAATGTGAGCTTAAACTAGTAGCGAGCAAGTAGCGTTATTGGTCTGTCCCACCGTCAGATTAACTGTGGGATTGTAAAATATTTATTGAACCTAATCACGGAACGATTATAAAGTTGTAAAATTATGCAGTCCGACTAGGGTTAATATCAAAGTTGCAATAGAAAACTGAATATTTAAATTGAAAATTTAAACAGTGGCAGTAACTTTTTATTATTAACATGCCACAGTCTGAGAGACATCGTATGCAAGCTGCATTAGCTCTTATTGCTGACAATTTCCATTAGGTGTTAAATCTCGAACTTTTTAAAATCGGGAGAAATCTTACAGTTTTAGTATTAACTTTTACTAATACCTGAATTTCTTTCATTTTTTCGTGAGATTCGACTACATAGCAGAAGTATTTCAAACCACACATTGATTTTCTTCCGTAATGCACCCTGCCTCCCTGGCAAAGAATGTTCTTCACTAAAATCATTCGGAATGAAGTGAAGTCTGTAGCGGTTCTTCTAGTTATATTGTTACTAGTTTGTCATCACTAAAAAAATCCCAATATGATGAATGATTTGGCCACGAAAGTTTCTGTACAATGACATTATTCATAAAAATTTTTGCTGAAACATTTTGCGCGCATGAAGAGTTTTCAGGAACACACAATTGCGGTCAATTTAGTTTATTAAATATTTGCCACAAATCGCGTGATATTTGGAGGTGAATGTGAGATTTTTTGAAGTATGCGTCACGCATTAGTATGATCGAATATACTGTGCAGCCGGTATTAATAAAAAGAATTGTTGCAGCTTATTGGTAATGGACGAATGTGCGCCCGAAATTTGTGTATTAAAACTTCATGCTGCCACCAAAAACATTACAAAAATTACAGTGGATTATATCAGAAGAGGCAATATATAAGAATTGCAACTAACCGAATCTCACTTCCCGTTGTGCCTCACTTAGGTGACCACGAGTTAAAACCTCGAGGAGGTTAAGCTTCTCATATCTGGTTCGAGTTCATATCAGTGGCGCCAGTATACCTACTTTCAAGAAGGTTTCAGCCCCTTTGAAACATCCTTAAGCACCCTAAATAATTTTCTTTACATTTGTTAAAATTCTCATTCAAAAAAATAAATAAATAAGTAATAACCGACGAACTCAATAGAATGCGGCTTGAATACGGATAAAAATTAGACAGCCAGTCATTATCAACTTATATAAATTTTAAGGGCTTAGTCCCATTGTCCTTAAGATCAAGTGGCTTAGCCCGCCTGTCGGATTATAGTAAAATATAGTAAAATCAATATCTTAAGACATAGTGACACCCGCTGGCTCTTACTTAAAGATTGGAGATAGTGGGCAGTAAAGAGTTAAGTACTGAGATGTATATTTATGCAAGGAAATTTAAATTTTTAATTTAGACCTTTTCAATTTTGATTACAATAATGTTTACTGGATTTCATAAATGTACGATTATATTAAAGTATTTCTCATGTTTTAATAATGTAACTTTTAAGTCCTAGACATGAAGCTGACAACTGCCTCCTGGAGTGGGCGAATCTCCATAGTGTTATTCCTGAATTTATTAATAATGTGCTGCACTAGAGCGATGGTTTTTACGGCTTTGAAGCAGAAAGCAATACCTCCAGCTGCTGTCCACCACACCTCTGCAGTCAACAGGCGCTGTGAGTTTAGAATAAAGAGTACAGATGAACAGATAAATTATTTTCACATCCAATGTGAGAAGGATGATTGCAGACCAAATACTGGATTGAATAACTGAGAAGTCCTAATAATTCTTCCAAGTAATATGCATCAAAATTTGAATAAATTCAGAGGCGCAGGGATGTTGAACAATCAGGAGTAACAATTCCCAACATGTGCCTCACTTTTATCTTTTAATGAATTCATAAGTATTTTAGGGGGATCAATGCTACTGTTTTCAAATCGGCATACCCGTTCGGTCTGTTCTCTCAAGGTGACTTGGCGAGTAGGTAGAACTGAAACATTTATTCGGGTGGCAAGTATCAAACGCCTGGACCCAAATGACTAGTATAGATCTACTCCACAACCCTTACTGGATTCTCAATGATTAAATTTTTCCAGAAAGCGTATGCCTCTGGCAACTACCTAACCCATCCAGTTCAACCACGCCCCATTCATCTCCCAATGTTTTGCCTATGTGCCATAAAATCTAACCAACTTTAAGGAAGAGTCTTTTAAAAAATGATCGACGAAGTATATGTTGCACCTAACTACATATCATAAATTGATGTTCTATTAGCTTAACTCTCCAGAATCCGTTTGTTTCTCCAGCTCCCAAATAAAAATTATTTGTGGAACATCGATGATTATTGATGGCAATAGATGGAAATTACAGGTGGTGCACCGATAAGACCTATGTTCCACCTATAACCTGCCGATGGCCACCCTACCCGAAAAGCTCTTTTTCCGCCAATAACTACCAATTGGCATAGTTGGCGCATCGACGAGCCACCAATGGCCACTTTTAAAAATGAAGTCGCCAGTAATTTTTCATTTAGTTTCACATCCGATGCATTTTTTGATATTACTTCTTACAATAACCGCTCAGAGGACAACGTGTGAACATCCACCATGGCAGCACAAGTAACAATGTAGCAGGAACAAATAATAAGAGTACCATAAAAACATTTGTATCAAAATCCTCAAATCCCTAACGGCAGGATTCGAACGCCGGCCTCATTTTGCAAAGCCATGCCTCAACCGTTGAGCCATCGGAGAGGAGTTGGTCCTCTAGTCATTTTAAAAGATTTAATTGAACTATTGCTACTATAAATTTCATCAAATGGCAGAAGTCACCGCTCCCACCGTGATGATTAGATGGTTACACAAACAATTTTGATCAATAAGTATCGAAGTTTCATAATGTGAACAGAACACCAATTTTGACAGCGGTCCGATTCGAACTATTTTCTCAAAAAATATTCTTGCGTAAATCAGTGAATTGATATCACTCGATGATTTTGTAATGTTGAGCGTGAAATAACTTCATCACTTTGTGTCACAATTTTTCTCTAGCCTAAACTTTAATCTTTTGATCAGGAGAGATACCGACACCACTTTATTAGCAACGTTAATTTAAATTCAAAATAATTATCTGGCGGCATAAGCAAATTTATCTTAAATAATTATACGTACATCACCATCGAAGTTAGCGAAAGAAATCTGAATTGGTACTCGTATCCCTCTTCGTAAATTTTTACTCGTATCCCACTTTTTTGGCAAGCAAATTACCCGGGAAGCACATATTTCAGGGAAGACACTTTAAGGATTAGTAGGAAAGAAACTCAATGCCGACGCGCGCCAACCCAACAAGTATCATATCAACGCGCACTTACTCGACTCGCTCGCTGCGCTTTAGAGATGCCGAGCCGCTGTCGACTACGTCAAAGAGGCTTTTTAGACTTTAGAGTTTACATAGAGGCGGCAACTTGAGAATAATATAAATATAATGAAACACACTTAATCGATCCATAAAAGTTATACTTGTACAATAATTTAGTCTCAATTTTGATCGCAATATTTACACATAGCAAATTGGCGCATAATCAAAATTCGCATTAAATTTACGCTATATATCAAGCTAACATAAAAAATTGTATTCGCCATAATCTTAGAAAAACTTTATATTTTGAAACAAGATTTTCCATTGTTCCTCGGACAATTTATATCAGGAGCAGTCTGAAACATGCCCAGTTGCTAGGGACGCATTCCAACAAAAATAAAACAAACCAATCTTCATCCCTGCATTGTTCAGCCAGGTGATCGTATAGGTCCTTCCCATTGGCCAAAGTGATAAACGAGTTCTGATTTATCTTTATTACAGATTAAAACCAAGCCTTGGTAAACACGTGAACACCGAAACCAGAACGAGACACTTTCAAGACTATTGCTGAATTCTTGAGCTATTCTTGAGGTTCCGAGATTTTGAGCTATTTCTAAGACTATTGCTGAGACTCCTGAAACACACAAATGGAACAAATAAATATCTAACAAGGTATTAATCTAAACATGAATATCCGATTAATAATCAGCACGAATAAAATCATTAATAAATGCTACTGAAATATTTACAAAAAAGTATACACAGATGGAAACCACAGCTAACTCTATACCTAACATTCACTTTATTCATCAAATCCTATCAACACAAGACGTACCTTACACATCCATGGCACACACGATACTGAATCCGCTTTCTTAGTTTGGACAAGGTCACGTCTAACTCTTTCTAACGCAAAATCACAAATTCGTTATCAGTTCAATCCCCAACACAGTGGCTTCACTTTGGCTTAAAAAATTTGTGAAAATCTTGCTTCTGCATGTCTGTCAGTTCTACTCGTACCTACCGAATTCACGCTATACTTTCGCTAAATTTACTGAAATCGAAATCTTGAAAGCCAAGCATACAGAATGAAGTCATGATTTCGAATGACCCGCAAGCTATTAACACCTTTCTACGTTGGATAAATTACAGTGGCAAATTCATTCGTGCACTGTGCAGTTTAGGCAAACGGTTCTTGGTGTCTTACAATTGACTTGCCTGAAAAGCGCCATCGATGATTCAGACCACATAAATCATCGATGATTCACCGATGACAGCCACCTGTACTCGACACACTCTCGATTTATTGGTGTTTGTTTGTCGATTTTTTGGCAGATCTGGTCACCCACCGTTACGCCACCTATATAATCTACCATCGCCACCTTATTCATCGATGCGTCACCCTCAAATTCTTTTGGTAAAATTAAGATTTTAATTAAAGAAATTAGAGTCAAATCTTCGTGATCATTTAAGTGGCGAGTCTGGGTAAAAATATCATTTGTTTGACTCGACTCTGGATAACTGGCTCTCAAATCGTCTATATTACTTGTTACGAGGATACCAACATGTGACACATGACTCATCGTTGTTCAGTATAGCATGAATAATAATCTACAAACCTATTGCTTTTTTATGGCATCTTAATACCGACTGCCAGAAATTGTATATTTTGCACAATGGCTTTCAGCCCTAAGCTGAGCATGCATAAATATTCCGTTTAATGAATTAAAAGTATTTTGTTCAAAGCTAAAAATTTAGCACATTATTTAAAGCGATGAAGAAATTTATTTTTTCTAAACAGACCCTCCATATAACTGAATGAAATTGATCTTTGCTAATTTATTCTCGCCAGGTGATTGCCGAAACTCTTGCTACGTCGATAAACATTGCACCGGATTCTCAATGCAGCTGAACGCGAGTACGAACCGGTTTGTGTGCTCCATCTCCTACACTTACCTCTTCGACACGGACCTAGCCATCGTATGGATGGGAACGGTTTGGACCTTCCTCAAAGGTATTTTTCTCTTAAGTTTTTGGCAAAAATAGACAAGTTTGTATCAATATTTAAGGAAGGTCAATCATAAATATGGATAACGATGCTAAATCACTTCCTAGACAGTGTTTTTTTGTAATATACTAATCCTAAAAACAAATGACAACAAATCCATAAAACCTTTAAATCGCTGACTGTGACTATACGTGCAGCATTTGTGTGCGCTCCATCGTACGTGTCTGTGGCGGGCACCGGCTGCGTTATCGCAGTGGACGCGCCCCAGAACTTCACAGCCGGCGTGGAGACGTGCCGCGTTCTAGGTTCCGTGCTGGTTTCGCCTCCCACCGACGCTGCTTTCTATCATTTCGCCAGATTCATCAACAACACCATTTTCTCCAGTAAGGAATTTTTTTAATAAGGAGTACTTAGAGCATCAACTAGAATAGTCACTATAATTTTATAATATCTTTTAACTTTGTTGATGCTTTGACACGATATCGCTTGTCTGACAACTAACGAAGAGTTATTTAACACGTTTTTCTTAACTTAGCTTCGCGTTTGTTTGTTTGTGGATTTGTTTGTTGTTAACATTGACAACGAAAATTAGCCCACTTCTGATTGCTCTAGAGATCTGAAATTCGGCATGCAGGCTATTTTCGTCTAACAATTTCAGATACAATCATAAAAAACTAGCAATTAGAGACCTAAATTAGCTTAATTGAGTAAAGTATATATATATAGTATATATAGTATGATGTGCGGGCGCTGACGTTATAGACGAGCAGGCGCTGACGCTGCGTATCATCGATACGTACGTCAAGTCAAGTAAATTGGCTCGCAACAACGTTTTTCAGGTGTAGCAACGGTCTAAAAAAGGGAAAATAAAATACTTAAAAAACTTTTTAAAAAACCACGTTTTTCTTGTGGACTAAAAAGTAGAAAATAAATTATGGCTCGCCCCAAAAAACGTGGGTCGGACTGTACGTTCACCATCAAATTTCCAAAATTCATGTGTTGTGTGCTTTTCGCTTTAATCATAAATCTGCCCGACACACGTTTTTTGGGGCGAGCCATAATTTATTTTCTACTTTTTAGTCCACACGAAAAACGTGTTTTTATTAAAGTTTTTTTAAGTATTTTATTTATAAAAACAACCGAGCCTGTCCAAAGATGAGATTTCATTTACCTTCGGCACGAGGTCAAGTTTAATTATTGTGCTGCAAACGGGTCCGGTGTTTTGTTACTATTCCGGTTGTCCGGTGTTAGGTTACTCAGTAATAACACATCAAACTCATTGATGAAAAGTGTCTTTTGTTGAAGAAATAATATTTTTTTGCAGAGCTGAACAAAAAAGATCGATTCTACGTTGGAATTTCCAACACGAACGGGACGTGGCGCTGGGATGACGGTCACACGTTGACTTCAACTCAGGGTGCGTCTCTGTGGTACCAAGGCGATCCAAACGAAATCGGAGTTCAGTGCGCCGCCATGCTTTTCAACCCAACCTTGAACACCTACGGAGAACTGGTCGACCTGAATTGCACATTAGAGGGACGAATTGTCTGCGCGACACGAGAGACTCAAAACATTGTTCATGATTGGTACTGAACATAACAGTTTCACGCGTTCCTGGTGAACTTATACGCTAGGAATTTGAAGAGAAACTCTAGATATCAAGTGATCGACGTATGAAGTTTCAAATGTTGACGCGAACTTAATTTTTTTTCGCATGTTGACTTCTCGATCAGCGCATCTTTGCTCCCAAGTTTGAAAATTCGCTGTCCGGTGATTGATGGATAACTTACTTTGTGAAACATGTGTAGATTATAGCGAGGTAAAAATTATTGTGGCAGAGAGAGTCTCTAGGAGAAAAGAAAACAGCCTATACTGTATTATAGGAAATTGATTACCTTTCAGATAATATAAATGATATTTAGTGTAACTCTGCAAAATGGCATCCAGCAAGATGAATTTATGAACGTTATAGCTGAAGCTTTGGTTCATTACGTTAATGCAGTCATTAGATTTATTCAAAAAGTTGTCGGACTAACATATACTGTGTTTAGCACAAGTTTGACGGTTTTTGGCACCTATATACATAAACGTAACGAAAAATATTATTCATTATCAGTGCATAAATATAATGTTATTACAGCACCATTTTAACTCATTGTATCTCTTATTATAATTTATGTAAAAGTAACTCATATTCTCATTGATGTTTTTCATAGAACTAGACTAGATATTTGAAAATTACATGCACAATTCATGTTTAATGATTTAATTACATGCAAGTGGATTCAATCAACATAGCTGCGTTGCAAACATATCATTCCTGCAAGATTTACAAGCCGTTGCGAAGGTGAGAAAGGCATGAAGTTTGAGAAGAGTTATTGGTAAGCGCATTCAAATTCTGACGCTCAGTGTGACTGCTAGCAAAAAAAGCAGTCGGAATCCTCCAGAAAGTGAGGCTGCGAAGGCTGTACGGCGAGGTATATTAATGCGCGGCATCATTAAGGGTAACTTATCTTGTCACTTGAAATTAAGCACAAAGTGTGGTTGTTAGCACTCCTTCCACTCAAGCCTTTCTTTACGAGCTGCGTGAGAGGCCGCCATGAGAAAATTTCATTTATACCCCCGACATGAACTGGGCTGTGGTGCTGGTTATGACGAATGGAAAGACTTGCAAGAAGAGGTTGTTTTACATTTTAGATTTTTCAAATGTTTGCAAACGTATCATGCAACATGGATAATTTATTAGAGCTTTTACTGACATTAAATTGATTTTAGTGAAGAAATGTCTTGAATGAAGTACATTTGGAAAAAATAGTTAAACAATGTCGTCAACAACGTCAGCATTATGTTTATAAAATATGTTTAGAAATAATTTTAATAAATGAGGTAGGAGCTTGGATGCATCATTCACTTCAATCCTACCTCATTCCTACCTTACTCCTCACTTCAATCTGCACCAATAAATGTTGTTAAATAAATCAATCGAAATAAATTGAATAGAGATTTGCTAAGCACAAAATAACTCCCACATGTGCTGCTGCTTTCAGCTCGCTGGAGCGGCATTTCAGTGAGAAAAAAAAGTTTAGGGTTATGCCATGTAGGTTTTATTGTAATTGTTTTATGTAACTACTAGCACCAGGTCAAGACTTATAATAAACAGTGCAGTGTGTCGTTGCTTTATTCAACTACTGGCATCAGGTCGAGACTTATTATAAACAGTGCAGTGCGTCATTGTTTTATTTAACTACTAGCATCAGGTCGAGACTTATAATTAACAATACAGTCTGTCGTTGTTTTATTCAACTACTGGCAACAAGTTAAGCCTTTATAAACAGCGCATTGCTTCATTGTTTTATTCGCCTATTTGCAACAAGTCGAGACCTATAATGAACAATGTAGTGTGTAGATGTTTTGGTCAGCTGCTTGGCTTAAGTTTCGTGAATAATGTTAATGATAATATGAGTTGTAATACAAGCAATATTAGCACTAAATTAGCCTAAATAATGTAAATAGAGTCAATCTTTTTCGTTATGATTTTTAAATGACCTCTTTAGCTTGGTTGGTATTGCTGTGTATTGTAAAATATTTACAAACTGTAAATATTTTTACACACCCAATTAAATTTTTAATTCACGCAAAACCCTAGTTTTACTGCTACTGCCTAGTTAGCCTAGTTTCACAATAAAAAAAATATTGATAAACGAATAAAAAGCGAAAACATGGCAGGTTTTTTTATGACTTGATTTTTTTTATTTATTACAATCATTGATAATTAAGCCATTTGACTAGTGGACTCGCCAATTATAACGGCAAGTTGAATCTCTTCATTTTCTTGAGCAATATAAGCATCAACACCTCGTCTAAGTTGTTCAGAGTACAGCTGCTTGACGCTTCATGGTACGGTACTCTGGATCGCTTGCTTGGCACAACTTTCTGCTTGTCGAAACAAGTTAGGCTTTCAAGCATATATCTAGCAGTCGTAAACAACGAACTTGCACGTCTTCATCGATGTTGAAGGTGGTGGAAAGGATATCTGGAAAGTGATTAAGTGAGTAACTTGATCCAATAAATAGGGGCAAAGCTTCTTCATAGAAGAAGAAATCGATAAAAACTTTAAGATGGAGTCGATAGAAAATTAATTGTATCTACCTGAGATGTGGATAAAATTGTCATTTCAATTTATACCCTCTACAATTATTTATTCGATGAAATGGAGAGAAAAATTAAATGCGTACCCAGTGAAGTTTTCCCTCTTCTAAAGAAAAATTTTGATGAAGCGTAAGGATTCGACACCATAAGATAAAGATTGTCGGGAGCCTGTCCTGGCAAAAACCACCGCACAAGTGCCGGGATGACATGATTATCACCACTATTATCTTGGCTTTGGCGTTCTGCGCTCTGAGAGATAAATGCTCACATTCCTCTTCGAATGACGCCATTATCCTGACAGCTGACCAAAAATCTACAGGATGGAGCGGATTCACTGGTAAGCGACAGCAATGCCGAGTCGTGGTGGCTTATTTAAAAATATCTGACTGAGATTTATTTATTTCATAAAAATATTTGATTTAAGAAATGCAGTAAAATCAATTGAATCGTTTAAATATATTATGTGATATTTTAATCATTACTATTTCTTATGAATAATAATTTTCTTCGACTAATTTTTTAATATCAGCGCAAGGTGATTCAAGTTTGAAGTAAACTATACGTTCGACATACAGCATAAATAAGAAAACTATTGTACGTTGAAAATCATTCTTTTATTCGGCCCAAAGTTGATCGAAACTTTGAAAAATACTTTCAAAGCGTTTGCTTCAAAATTATTATAAATTCTGACTGCGTTTACACTTTGCAACTTTTTTGCAGAGAAAGTTTGGACAAATACAGCGACGCTCTTTGCATAAACTCACCTCACCTGGACTAGATTCAATCTAAATGTTTCAAAGGTTGCTAGAATATTCCTTTTGACCTGTAAATTGATTGAAAAATTTTTATTTGAATAATGACTAGACAGTGGAACTGCTGTTTTTCCCGCCTAAAAAATATACACGGTCAATGAGAATTCACAAACTGAGCATAACCACGGGATGAAATTTTGATGATGACAACGTTCAATGAAGGAAATAATAGTGATTATCTGCTAAATTTTACTCCGAAAAGCTAGGCGCCATTTTTTTCAAGAGGAAACCGGTTTATTGAGAAATTAATCTCAAATTGTTTTCAAACTTATAACCAAATGACACACTGTTAAATTTTTACACGAGACAATAAATTCCTCACCAATTTTTACACACAAATATTTAAAATATTAAGAATATATGTGAAAAGCGCCGTTGAAGCCGGCTGGACCGAGGGAAGCTCAATGTTTTACAGCTGCCTTCAACCCATCCGATTTGATCAATAAGCCCATATTCAATCAGTCTCTTTCAGGCATTTGCGTAGTTAGTCGTCATAAAATCTATTCTCTTAATAAATTTTTTATTTCGACTGAGTCTGTACGAAGAATATGAAGTTAGCATAACCCAGGATGTTATTTTTTCCATTAGAATTCCTTCCATGCAGTTACTAGTTTTTAACATGCACAGTAATATGTACCTTTTTTAACAAACTGAAAATTGGAGTGAATATAATGACATTTATTCTCTACTTTTTAATTTCAGTTAATCTAGAGTGATTGAAAGTTTGAAACATACTGTTCTAAATCCTTGCTGTTTTACAAGCTCGAAAAAATTTAAATAAATTTACTGGAATTTATTGCAATCAAAATTATGAAAACCAACAGATTGTTAGAAATCCCTTCAAGCATAGAAATATTATTATTTTAATGGTCAAATACGACGCAAATCAGAAGGACACTCCACCAAAGCCATGATTTCCCTGCTCTGAGGTTTTATTGACCCGAGACACGTCTCTCTGAAGCATATTATCGGGCTATAAATCAGAGGAAGTGCTCTGGGGCTCTTATTGCCGAGAGAAGTGCGATGCAGAGGCTCATTCTTACGAATAACTGCATGACGCGCGTCATGGTTCCATGCATTCCCTGATCTTCACAAAACAATGGAAGATCGTAAAAGCAATTTTCAAAATGGGGGTGCAACCTTTTTTACACGAAGGTGAAGTTTCAGAAAACTGCATCCAAATATTGATGTCATGAAATTTGATTTCGAAAGTATCGTGAAATGAATGTTCACGACCCTCAATGTAAGCCGCCATTCACTTTTTACTTGAGCTAAAAAAATTATCTATTCATCAAGAACGCCTTACTCTCATAAATTATGTAATCAAATCATAGTGTATGCTGATGAGTGCCAGAAATTTTTGCACTCAATTTCTACAAACGACAGGATTGCGAAATAATTTTCGCTTGATGAGACCACTTTATGTCTCTTCGTTAACGCTTTTCGTCAGCATCCACAATTCAGGAAAAAATTTCGTTACAATGTAAGCAAACAATTTTAGTAACGCGTATTCAGGCGAGTATTGCTATAAAAACTTCAAACATGCAGCAAATATTTTGGAACATATTTTCTACTGGTCTCTCAGGATACCAAAATTAAAACTGCTAAGTTTAACTAATTATTTCCTAATTTGTCATGGAAAATTTGAATCCGATGATGTCTCCAAAAAAAGATACTACATCTAATAAATAATATTATTCTAAGCTACGTTAAGAATGTATGTTTCTTTTGCATGCAAGGATTAGAGCGATGAATGAACGAGACAGGATGTATACTTTTTGAATGATATTAACGGAATTCAAAATTCATGCTCCCTATCGTGTTTTGAGTAATGTTGATTGGTTTATTGGCATTTTTATGGTTCTATAACTAACTCGGCTGAGAATTTCGAAATATACTGCGGTGGAACTGTGGAACGGTGGAACGGCTACAAATTACACTTGTGAACAATTTCCCTGCAAAGGCTATTTAATTCCTTAATGGTTATTCTTTCAACGGGAGTGAAGTAACCAGGGCATTAATATTTTAAGAGCGTTTTGAGAGGAGAGTTTTTGAAGTGTTCCTGTGCTTTTTGTCACTGGTGGTTTTGATAGTTTTGTACAAAAACGATAAGTGGAATATCCTGTTTATGGCTCCGAATGTCACCGTTGCAGATACGCTTCAAACTGCGACAAATATTCTATCATCCGGTATTATCACAACAGTGATACACGTGATGTAATTAAAATAATCATCTTCACTATGCAACCGGAAGTTTAGTTCGACGAGGACTATTAATGAACTTTCATTTCAATTCTAAACTTGGCAAGTTTAACAAAAATACTTGTAAAGGTTTGGCTTCATGATTTACGTTCATTGCAATGATTTGTGTGATCTTTGGAAATCTATCATCCAGCGATCCCGATATTTATCCGACAGACAAGCTTCTAGATTCGTGTGCAACGGAGCGCGGTGCGTGATGCCTGGATGGAGCGAGTGCATATTTCGCTCGTTCTCGGTAGCAGTTTTCATTGGCCTGAAAGCAACTAACGTTCTGTGAAGAGAAATATTGTGCCATAAACTTTCCAGCCCGAGACCAGCTTCAAACACTAGTCACGGACCTACAGTACGTGGTGCTGTGGCGATTTTCTTTGGTATGTCTTAAAAAACGGAGCGGTGGTTTTCGTTTTCTTTAATATGGAATAAACGCCCGATAACTTCGAATAATAATGAAATATAGTTATATTATTTTATTGAAGAAAAAAATATAAAATTCGCCATAATTCTAAGAAAAAATAACCACCAAAAGGAAATAATTGATATACGTTTTAATTTAGACGCATCAGATGGTTACGTATCAGCTCACGCAGCACCCACCAATTAACAATGAAGGATTATCAGTTATAGTAATATGAAGTTATATTCATAGGCAACCGGTTGAAATGCAAGTGACTCGAGTCGCCATTAGATTATAATAGTCTCCATTAGAGAATATAATAATCCCAAATAAACGTTATACAATGGACAATAAAAAAATATTAACTTGGCGGATCATGCGCATTAATTTATTGCGTAAAGAACTTCTAACACAAAAATTTGTGAGAAATTTTGCAAGCTGTATCATTTAACTGATATACTGTATACAGTTTAGTACGGTTGTATTGCTATAAAAATGTCGTAAAGAATAAGCTTGTGTAGAGTTCAAGTCATGCATTCAAGAATCTTTTGGGATATATTATTTCGATTGTGCCAAGATTGGCGCATTGTAAGCTGCAACACACAATAATAAATAAATTAAACGAAATTAGTTTGAATGTTTTTCAGTAAATGTGCTTTGTAAATAAGTATATAAATAAATATCCTCAAACATAATTTTCAATAGTAAGCCGCTCTATACAAAAATATACGAATTAAACGATATTAGTTTGAATGTTTTTCAGTAAATGTGCTTTGTAAATAAATAAATCAATATCCTCAAGCATAATTTTCTAATCGATTATAAACTAAGGTCTTTATTTGCTTGTATTGTTATAATTTCGAAGATAGTAAACGTGTTTTTTAGGCCTTCAGCGCAGCCGTCAGGACGAACTGCGAGGAACTGCTCAGGCAAAGCTGCTGGACCACGTCCACTGTGAGCGGCGTATCTGCGTTAGAAATATAATAAATTAATAACTCATACTATCTAATAAAATTCATTGATTCAATAATGACATTTCCATTTATTTCTTTGCATTGACGCCGCGGGGTCGCGCATGTCGAGAAAAAGAATCCGGTTTATTTACTCTTTTGATCGCGTGTGGAATAACAGTAATATCTTGTGTTCTATTTCTATTGATAAGTACGACATAAACATGTTCAAAATATATATGAGTTAAATACGGCATAAATATGCAGCAATAAAATATGAAAAAGAATAAATATGTGATCTACGCGTACAAACGCAGAGAAAATGCAAGTCGGATTAATATCTGTTGATTTACCCAGCTGGAAGTAAGCTGAGTCACCGGCCTCCGCGCGCGCGCTGCCGATTGCTTCCCTGAGCGCCAAGACGACAGCATAGGACAGCGCTACTGCAGGCTCCCCGGTCACTGCGATACAAGCATCAAATTATTCGCATTCACACATTTAACAATAGTACCACATTTACCACATTTACCAATAGTATTAAAGAAATTCCATGTTTAAAATAGGAATAAGTGATTACTTTTGAAAAAATTATTTAATTATTATTTAATTAATTATTATGAACAATTAGATTAGAACATAGTTATTTTTTTGTAAGTTAACACACGATGCTTTTCAGCAGCGTTTGAAATTTATTAAGACGAAAAAATTATGTGCAAAAGCTTGGCAAAAATAAAATGAAAGGTAATTTCTTTAATTTTTTTATAAAAATACGACAGGTCCCAATGATATGATATCAATCCGAATTATTTCTCTCACAAAGGAATTACTTGGATAGAAACTTTAAGTTACTGTACATATATAAACTTTTTGCAGAGCACTAACTGATGTCCTTTGCATTAACAATCATAATGCAATAATTTGTTTATAGTTAGGATTATTTATTTGCGTCATTTTGTCACGGTTTAAAGTTATAGCCGATGTTTACCTTTAGACGACAGAACTCCAACGGGGTTGGGCGCATTGCTGAGGAGCGTCACTCGCAGATCAGTTGGGATGTCGGGTGCAAGCAAAGGTTTGTACTCCTAAGTTAATAGCACGCAGAAAATTTCGTTAGATTTAATTACAAGTTATTTTTGATATTAATCATTAACTTTCTAATTATTTATTCAGGTCGAGATTCGTTGCAAATACTTCCGCCAATTGCTTTAATAAATTACTTTATATTTTAGTAACATCTGGTGCCTGATCCGACATTTTTTCATAACTTTGTGCGTTCAAATGCTGTTTTATGTTTAATTTCCTGGTTTTACCGATTTTAAAACTCATTATTTAATAGTAACAGCTGTTATAACAGCTTCACGATAAACAAATAGGTGTGAAATTTCTGTAACTTGGAAAGAGTAAACAAGAGCAACTATCAAGAAGGACTAACCCAAGTGTCTGTGTTGAGCTTGGCCCCAGTCACCGGGTCATATTTGGGCCCCTCAGTGGTGAAGAGTCCCTGGCCCATCACCCAAGATCCTTCCACCTGACCGATGTCCACCAGCGGACTGATGCTCGTGCCGGCGTCCTCTAAGATGTCCGTTCTTAGCACCTGAATCATTAAAAAACTCATATTATATACATTAAGAAATCAATTGTTTAACAAGACACTCCCACATGATGCATACTACAAGTTGATACTTGATATTCTATACATTACCATATCCTACTTTTCAGGAGAGATACTCCCACCACAGTATAAAGACTACCTTAGGATACTCTAAAATTTTCATGGAGAATATTATATTTTCATCAACAAAGATTTCAGTGGAATGCACTGCAAACCATGTATGCCATAAATTTGAAAGCCACCGGAATAATATTTTGAAGTTGCAAAATAGAGCGAAAAAGGCATACAGCAGATAATCTAAAATATTTTGGACTTATATTTTTCGCAAAATGGATTTTTAATATCATGAGTAATAGTTTGGATAAAAATGAGGAAATTTTGTACATTCGCTTACCAAGAACTGCCCAGTGAGAACATCAAGCTCCACTTCGGTGCTCGCAACTCCGTACACTCCGTAGCTTTTGATCTCATCTGGCCCGTTCCTATCCATAAAAGAAATCTAATAATGCTGAGATTTTTTATTCTAAACTTCGTTTACAGATCTCCTGAAAATCTATTGGATAGTTCCAACTCGTATCAAGACGTATTTTTTTTTTAATTTCATAATAAAAGTGAACTCTTATTTGCAGCAAACAAAAACCTCAAAAGCAGCGAATACTTTTAAACTTTTGTCTCAATGGACGAATAATATAATTAGTCAAGGTTGTTATAAGATTAACTGACCAGTAGTACTCGCAAAGAACGACTCCCTGAGAAAAGGCAGTTGAAATTTTTTCCTCCCAGGTTGTTTCTACTGGCAGGTTTAGTGCATCAAGCCGTGCCTTGATCTTCGCCGACGCTTGAGTCGCACACTGTCGTGTAAAAATTAAAGAGTAGGATTCCCAGCGAAAAAGAGAAACTAAAGTTATTTCATTATTCTACTTAGTGATGGCTTTAGGGAAAAAAATGTATATCCTTAGTGGCTCATTAATGCATAAAGTTGTAATAAGTTTGATTTAGTCCTTAGTTTTCATCAGTGTTTTCATTAATAAACAATCACGTGGAGGAAATTTAAATTTCTTCTGCGAGTAAATTCTTCATTTACGTTGAGTCTTAGGCGTGATTTCTTGCACGGACAGAAAGGACTTCTGAAGCCAGCATCTCCGAATATTTCTATATGAATACGTCATTTAATTAGCAGAAATCACACTTCATGACTGAAATTACATTTTGAATGTATTAGCACCGATCGATATCGTGCGTCACAAAGTTAGTTGCAACTTACGTATGTGGTGGCGTCTGAGCCCGCAGAGCCGCCCGTGGTTGTGGTGTTGGCTCCCATGGTTGTCTCTGAAGGCTTGATTTGGATCTTGTCCAGTGAGCAGCCCAGGGCATAGGCAGTTGCTTGAGCAACCTAAAGGGACAATTAGCTTGAGATCATACTACATAAACGTTTTCATATTGTTTGATTTAGACTGTTATCTTATTTGATCATGTAAATGTGTTCAACGATGTTTTCAATGTTTAATTTCCATTGTTATGAAGTTCACTTCAATTGAAGCATAAGTGCCATTCCCTTTGGAGGATAATTTTCTACGTATCATCACACTGTTTTTGCTGGATAATTAAATCAAACTTCAAATGAGCATCCAAAATGAATTTAAAGTTTTTGTTCCTAGCCTTTCACAGAAGTTTGTAGCCTAATCATCTAAAATCACCATATGAAAGTTGGTAGTATATAAAAGTTATCATAATTCACCTTGGTGTTGATCCCTTGTCCGAGCTCGACGCCCGAGTGGCACACGGCCACGGTGCCGTCGTTAGAGTAGATGGCAATGAAGACACCGAAGCCCATGACAGGTGCGACCAAGTACGGCCACATCATCGGCATGACGGCAAGCCCACGCTTGCGCCATCGGTTTTCCTTAATTAAATAAAAAAGCAAATAAAAATGCAATTCGTAGCAATAATCTTTCTATTACATGTCAGCTAATTTCTATACGTGAACACAAAAATTCCGTCATGTCCCAAAATTTTTGCAATAAGGTCATGATTAACGCAGCTCACAGAGTTGAAGACGACAATCGCAGCCTTGCGGTTCGCAACATCAGCTTGAGCTTCGAGCTGGGATATCATATCACCAATAAGGCTCTTTTCGAGTTTGATTTGACGAATGGCTGGGTTCATGCGTTCCCTGCGGGTCATGAACCGGCGAGCGCTCACGGGAAGCATGTCGATAATAACGTCGGCGCCGTCTGGCTTCAAGTTCAACTTGCGGAATTCCAGTGAATCTACGCCGAGGTCTCGAGCCAAGTGCTCCATAATACATTCTATAAATGTAAGGCCTTCCAGCGTTGCTGCAAAAATTGTGAACAGAAAAATTAGAAATAATCAGAAACGTTAATTTTTTACATGAGCGTCTGTGACGAACCTAAGATTAGGCTTTCAATTCAACGAAATTACCTTTCAAAAGTGGGAATTTTTTATTATCCTGATTATACAAAGCTGCATACAAGCGTAATTTATTTTACAGAAGGACATGGATGTCAGTTATGACGGCGAGAAAATAATTACATGAGTTATCCAGTACATCAGTTGAATAAATAACAACTTACTGGGTGAGCGGCAGTAGGTGTTGCAGGCAGTGTCGGTGGTAACCGCGTGACAGTGCACGAGCCAGTTGGGGCACTTATAGCAGCTGTTCATGCAGATGCCAACGCCTTGAGCTGAGGACATCGCTACTGCGAACCCGGCGTCACCGTACACGTTAGCTTCTATGGCTTGCAGGACCCCATTGTCGTCAACTCCAGCCTATCAGGAGGATTATAAAGTGGAAATGTCATTAAATACCAGTTATTTTTTTTTTTGAGATATTCCAAGAAGAATGAGACACGAATTGAGGCATTGAGGAGATCCAAGAAACAAATTTTACTTAATAAGGCCCAACAAGGTTATTGCTGTAACGTACCTTGTAAGTGAGGTAAAATGGATCCCGCCACCCTATCATGGTCATGTTCGTTTCAAGGTCCAGGCTCACTCTAACGGGCTTGCGGAACTTTTGGGCAGCTACAGCCGTGGCGGTCGAGACTAGGTTACCGGCTACGATCTTAGCTCCAAAGCCTCCACCAAGACGTTTCACAGTCACGTTGATACTGTAAACAGCGAAAATTATCAGATGAGATGTCAGTCGTTGTAGTCATTTCATATTAAGACACATATCAAATTTTTAAACAAGAGAAGCACCAAACTCTGAAATGAAAATAATTGGTAAATTCGTGAGTTGTGCATAAGTTATCTATTGAGGAGAGAGAATATAATGTCCATTGCTCATCTCACGTGTTTGTTGGCACTGATAACACTTGAGCGATGGCAGCCTGAGCTCCTGCAGTCCATTGGGTTGAGCAGAAGACATCGAAGTTGTCCTCGTTAGGGATGACCCGAGCGACTTGGGTCTCCATGTGGAAATGGTACTGACCATCGCGGCTCATGGCGCCCTCAACGATACGAGTACTCGTCCCGAAACCAGCTGGAAGTCAAACATTTTTCTCATTGACTATAAGTAAAGAGAGGTAGCGAGCTTATTAGTAAATAAATTTTCTTTCGGTCTTCGAAATTTGTGGGATTTCAAATTACAATGCGTGTATCACTTTAGATGGAAGTGAAAATTTCTGTTGCCGTACGGACTATCTAATTTTAAAATTTATTTATCAATCTCAAGCTTTAGAATTTCTCACCGTCAACGTCGCCTATGACCAATGGGTCAAATGCTACAGACGGTCGTCCTGTTGCCATGGAGTCAGCAATGGTCAGGACCGGTGTTTGCTCGTCTGCGTAGGTCACCTGTACGAGGTTCGCTGCTTGGCGCACCGCGCTTGAGTCACCAACCACCATCCCGATGGCTTGGCCGTAGTAGCTCACTTTCCCCTCAGCAAACACCTGCAAGTAGTTGTTTTTCAATAATTTCCTTTACTCAGAAGAAAATGCCTTTATAACACTTTCTTACCGAATGCCTTTAGGGAAAAAAAATGTGAAATAACATATGTATAAAAAATATAACTCAGTACTCACTGCAGTGAGTGACAGATAGCGCATTTTCCCGTCGACGAAAACTTGAGGTCACGGGCGGACGGACAGACAGACAGACAGACAGACAGACGGACATGGCGAGCACAATAGTGCATTTTTCCATAAATGAGAAAATGCGCTAAAAAGGATTAAATCTTTAGAAATTTTTTGTTTATAATGATTGATTTGACATGCTAAGTTGGATCATCATTCCTAGGCAAGTGTTGCATTGGTGAGATGTCTCACCGGCTCAATGTTGTCAGGGCTGAAAGGTTGCATGGAGTTGATGCCCTTGATGTCACTTGCTGATACGAAGCCTACTATCCCAGGCACAGTCTGAAAACAAATTCACTATTAATAACCACGAATAATGAACGTAAGACACAGGACAATTCCTAAAATATTACTCCACTAGTGATGCAAACCGAGGGAAAATAAAATTAGCAAATTAACGATTTTGACCCAAATTTTTTGGAATTTGAGCGTAATTCCAACCTTCACTTGGCACATTTACCAAGTTTAAAGTATTGATAGTAATAATATTTTTATAACGAGAATGTTACTGACCAGCGCGGCGGAGGCATCTATAGAGACGATAGTAGCGTTGGCTCGCGTCGACAATACGAATCGTCCCGTGAGCTCGTCAGCCGAAAACGGCGCATCGTTGATGTACTTTACTTCGCCTGAAATAATATTAAGGAATGAGAGGAGAAGAATAGAAGAAGTCAGAAAAAGAGTTAAGAAGTAGAGTCGCGATCATAACTAGAAGTAAAATAAAAATATATATACAAAAATTGTATTTATGGAACACCTCTCACGCTTCGTCTCTCAAAACCAGACGTGTTGCAACTATTACGGTGAAAGAAATTGAGAAAATGGCAATTGACTTTACCTGCGCATTGAGCCTTAGCCTCGAGCTTGGGTATAGGCTGGCCTAGAGGCCAAGTGCTCTGGTTGTCGTCGTAGGCTTGAGTGCCGGAGGACAGCGGCCGTACGAGGCTGGAGGCACCGCTCAGGTATTTGGTGTCCACGGTGCCTCCTTTTTCGCTGATGATGGACATGATGGTCTGAGCATCGGAGATAAGTAAATTCATTACAAATTATCTGATCAATTGACAGTAAATTGTGACAAGGGCGAGTCTTATTTAGACAAGGAGAGATTTTTAGTCAGAAGAAAAACACAGCCCAGTCAATAAAATAATGTTTTAGCAAATGTTTTGGCAAATCATGATTTTTATAGAAATATTGGTGGAAATTATGATGAAAGAAATGCTAATCATAACCCGGGTGCGGCTTTTTCCACCGACGAACAACAATTGTAGAAAAACTATAACAATAAATTCCTACAGTGCAAGCCACAAAAGAGAAAAATATCAATCAAAACAAGAATTCGCTCAGTGAATAAATTGGTTTTGTAAATTTGTAATTGGTTTTACGAAATTTTTAATTGGTTTTACGAAATTTGTAATTGGTTTTACGAAATTTGTAATTGGTTTTAACGAAATTTGTTATTGGTTTTACGAAATTTGTAATTGGTTTTACGAAATTTGTAATTGGTTTTCCGAAATTTGTAATTTGTTTTACGAAATTTGTAATTTGTTTTACGAAATTTGTAATTGGTTTTACGAAATTTCTTATTGGTTTTCACGAAATTTGTAATTGGTTTTACGAAATTTGTAATTGGTTTTAAGAAATTTGTAATTGGTTTTAACGAAATTCGTAATTGGTTTTACGAAATTTGTAATCGGTTTTAGGAGTTGACCTTGTAGAGCAGCGTCTGGGCAACTTGCTTCTTGAAGGCAGGGTTCGGCAGCCCTGGTCCGGCGTCTGGCACGACTTCCGCGTCCAAGGATGCGAAGGCGTTCTGAAGCACCGCTCCGTCACGGAGGTCCTTCCCCACCAGGAAGGCTTCCGTGCTCTTTGCCCGGTTCTTTAGAATATTTGTTCTCTTAACTGACATTTGCAATTAATTTTTAATTGATATATGATGGACACAAACACGATAGAAAATCTCTACTCTAAGCAGTGGATTGGGCTAGTTTCTATGCCATAAACCATGTTAGAAATTATTCCTAGTCTTAACTCGATTGTTTGGCATTTTGACCTGCTTTTTATATCTAGGGGAAGAAGATCTATGGGTTCACTTCTCTCTTTTTCATGCATTTCAACCATTGTAATCTCATCTTCAGTATGGTAAGCATAAACAATAATAAACTCACGAAAGAGGAGCTGATGCCGCTGTACGCCAGAACGGGAGCTCCCGTGACAATGAAGTCGTCGCCGACCTCAATTTTGTGGGCAGCGCCGACGAAGGCCAGGGCAAGGGTGTTCCTTGGGGCTACCTGGTAAAATTTCCAAAAATGTATATCAATAAGTAAACATCAAATCTTTTTATGTGTATTTCAAAGTAACCTTCTTTGTTCGTTATGTCCCGCAATAAAACGGTTTCTTTTTGTCTTGTTAACATTACAATTAGAAGTTATTCAAAATTCTTTCAAATGAAAACAACCATGTAAAGTGTTTTGGTGCTCATATTGATTTGTATCACAGGTGTATTGTGACTCGAGTTACGTTACGATTTACGGGACACAGCGGAGAGTTTTATTGCATCCGGAAATTGATAAATGATAAAAAAATGGACTATTATAAGTAAGAAAATGCAACGTACTTTGTACGAACGATAGTAGGAGTTGTCAGGATGGGGAAGATAGCGCAGAGTGAGCATCACTTCTTTGTTGGCTGTCAGGTCTCTACCAAGCAAACTCTCCACGCTGTACCACGTAGAACTGCCATCTGGCACTCCTGCCCGAGATTTTTTTAATAAATACCAATAATTGTTTTCATATGTTAAATTTTCTTTCAGAGAACTAGGTTTACGACGTAGATATTGCAAGCCAGATTTTGTAAAACGAAGCAACATATGTGTTGTGACCTCGTCATCCTGTTATACCCAGGCACAGGCATACAGAAACTGCTGCATCACTGAATAAAGTCTAAGATAGAAGTTTAGTCTGACGTCTAGGATAGAAGTTAGGCCGTAAAACAAATCATTGCCAAACTATTGCACGATTTAACATGATTTCGTTCGGAAGGGTAATTTTTAGTAATATAAAACAATGGTCCTCATCGGCGTGTTCAAATAAAGTTCTAGTTAACTTGGATTTTGGGAAATAAGTGATGTTGGGATAAATTTTTACATCATACCGAGCAAAACTTGAGCCTCGGCGGCCACAGCGGTCAGGAAAAAGTCGGAGGGGAAGCTTGGGTCCTGCATCTTGAGCGCCAGGTTGCCGCTCCATCCTCCCAGCTGCCAAAGTTTGGAGCAGCATTTTACTTAGGATTATTTACCAAAGCTAACTAGAGTGTATTTACCTGAGAATAAAAGTAAAATCCTTCTGACTGAACAGAAAACTACGCAGCGCAATTTTCAGGGGAGTCTCTAGAATTTGATTTCTAGCCAAGCCAGCGAGCAGCAAATGCTGTAAAATTTACGTTGCTAAATGTTTTATCTGACCGTTTTATTGAAAATAAATGCCATTTCCACTGGTTAGTTTAAAAAGCTAAGTAATAGGCGGTTTCGTATTATTAACTAACTTATGAAAATAGATGGAAATCATATGTATTCAACACATTTTCATTCAATATCTTAATGCCAGACTCACATTCCGGATGGAGGAGGATGCAAGCTTCTGGAGATGATCGTCCACCTGCTGTAGATACGAGAAGCCAGTAAGGCTCTTGGCCTGCTGCAGGGCCGCCCTCAGCGTAGTTACAGACACCGCTGCCCCGGCCGTCACTTCAGTGGGCGTCACCTTAACGCTCGCCAAGTCACTCACGTTGCGCGTAGAAATGATGTTGGCAGCGCGTGGGCTGCCTGACCAGCCTACGAATAATAATATTGTCAATTAATATTGTGGAAGCTTTAGCTATACAAAATTGATATCTATTTCATTTAATATTAACCGGCCTAATCATAGAGCATAACTTGGTTTATAGTAATTATTTCGAGTCAATCTTTCACACCGTTCAAAGTTTTTATCTTTGGATGATTGTATGAACGAACTAGTGCACAAGAAAGTTTCATTATTTACCAACTGGAACATATGATTATTAATTTGACTTTTACAGCAGTTTTGATTTTAATTTACTTCGAAAATTAACAACATTAAAATGCTCCATTTTCAATATAAATGCTGATATGTTCTAATATTTAACATCAAATAAGACTTACCCACTGCTGTGTTGCCAAACATGAATGCGTAGGACGCGCCTGCTGGAAGACCTCCAAGGATGCTCAAAAGCTCCTGAAGAGGGAAATTTATGGTAGATTTGTTAAGAATCATTGAAATATTTAAGTACAGAAGAGTTCCTTGAATGCCTATGTGCTTATTAGCAAATCGAACATAGTTTAGAGGTCAGTTGCTCTCCCCCACAAATTATTTCATGCCAAAAAACTGAAAGAATTTCAAGCTTAGGTACACGAAATAAAAAGCAATTACTGCTATATTCTATCCATGGGTGAGCTATAGAAGCTCTCACCGCGGTCGTAGTGGGTGAGTAGAATGTAACGCCGTCAACGGTGACAGCTTTCTGCACGGCCTTGCGTTGACAACAGCCGCTGCCGCCAACAGTTTTGCCAGCTCCCTTGCAACAGCCTCCTGTCTTTGACTTTGCACAAACCGTCTTGTCGATATCCTGCAGAAAAAAATTATCGTGTTCTCATTGACTTAATAAAATGTCTGGGAATTATTGAGTTCGCAATTAAATTTTTTACATTACCTTAATTATAGTGAAACGAATTAATCCTTCACGAGCTGCTTCCTAGAGTTTTTTTAAATAATTGGAGAGTTAATTTATTAATTATTTTCTTCAAGAGTGTTGCTGTATAAGTGGTTTGATTTGATACGTTTAAATTTTAGATAATACTTTCGCTTTCCATATCTGATGCTATTGTTCAAACGACAAAATACATGTTTTAATATCCCGGCAAACATCTAAAACAGCACTAAAAATTAAAATAATCTACCATTTTTGTGAGCAGCCGTTACACTGCCAACGATAAATTCCATAGTATAAATCATGGATCTGAAATGGGGGGAATATGTGCAGGATCAGGGATCTGGTATGGGGGGATATGTGCAGGATCAGGGATCTGGTATGGAGGGATATGTGCAGGATCAGGGATCTGATATGGGGGGATATGTGCAGGATCAGGGATCTGGTATGGAGGAATATGTGCAGGATCAGGGATCTTGTATGGGGGATAATATGTGCAGGATCAGGGATCTGGTATGGGGGAATATGTGCAGGAGCAGGGATCTTGTATGGGGGATAATATGTGCACTAAGAAGTCTATACTTCACCTCAATGTCCGCGGGTGTGATGCTTTTGAAGGCGGCCAGGATGGGCCTGTAGCCTGTACAGCGGCAGATGTGGCCGTCCAAATGTTTCTCGACGTCGTCGTCCGTCCACGTGCCTTTCTCTTGCGTGAGGCTAAAAGCCGAAATTATGATTTGAAATGAAACCACGGAGTCATAGATAAAATGAAGAAAATTACGATTAGGCATAAATTGGATCTGTAATTAAATCAAAATAGCATTTGAAATCAGAAAAATTTTCATGGACGTGACCGCTCATTTTATACGTAAATAACAGATCATTGCATCGTTTGTTATAATCGTTTCCGTGTTTATAAGATGGCTCGTGTTTATACAATACTCATTCATGACATATTAACTGAACTCAACTATTTTTACCCCATTGACTCACCCATACATATTCATGACCATGGCCGGGGAGCAGTAGCCGCACTGGGTGCCGTAATATTCAGCCAGGCGCTCCTGGATGACGTGGTAGCCATCCTCGCGGTTGCCCAAACCTTCGATGGTGGTGATGCTCCAGCCATCGCAGTTGTAGAGCGAGGCCAGGCACTGCATCACCGAACAAATCCCCATTACTAGGATCAATTAGGTTCACATAAGGTGCTTCAAAGTTTAGTTCACAACTACATAACTATTTATTATAGCATGGAGTGATTTGTAATTTTTCTTTTTATAATTCAATGGCTCACCGAGTTGATGGAAAATGTTTTAGTTCCCCCAGTTGCTGCGTCGGGGGCAGTGGCCACGACAGTGCAGGCGCCACAGCCCCCCTGGTAGCAGGTGATGTGGGTGCCTGTCCCTACCTTGTCGCGGATGAACGTCACCAGACGAGTCGAAATTGACTCCTCAGCGCCCACTGATAACCGAAAACGGTTTGCATTATAAAGGGATTTACTGTGAAAATACTGTAAAATATAAGTGATACTTTCTCAAGAGTAAAATTCATCAGTTTGCTGAGAGAATTTAAATTGGAATTTATCAGATTAAAATAAAAAATGGTGCTATACTCACCAACGTACAGCTTCCCGTTTATTGTGACTTGGATGGAGTCACCCATATTGCCGTGGTAACTGAAGTATGAGATAAAACTTTCATGAAAAGTTTATTGAAGATATCATTCAGTTGAACTTGAAACGAAGCACGCACTAAAAACTAAACGAATAACAGTTAACATAGTCTACGTTAACTTAAAAAATATAACTCAGTTCTCACTGCAGTGAGTGACAGAGAGTGCATTTTCTCGTCGACGAAAACGTGAAATCTCGGACGGACAGACGGACGGACGGACGGACGGACATGGCGAGCACAATAGTGCATTTTTCCCATAAATGAGAAAATGCGCTAGAAAGGAAACGATGAAGGGTCTTCTTACCAACAGAAGTTTTTGCAGAAACAGGAAACCTATTTTCAATCTGAGACGTTCAATTTTTTAACTAGTTGATAATAATAATTTCATGTCTCTAAGATAATTCGCATACCTACACACACTTTCTGGAAGAGAAAAGTGACGCAGTTTTCGATGGCCTTAAAGTTAAACCGTCTTCTTCTTGGAAGTTGATGCAGTGGGTAGAGTGGAAGCTCTAACCGCCATTAAATACTTTTAAGACTATCAATTCACGGCTTATCAAGAAGCGATATCACGCGTAAATTTTTATCGGAGCTACAAACTGCCTGGTAACGCAGGAGATTTATTATTTTTCGTCCGCAGCACCTAAAACTCATGTTATTTTAGAATCGAAATGATTCCAGAATTGAAAATGAGTTTAAAAAGTACAGCAGTTTGAATTTTTGAAATTACGACTGGCTTTAGTTTCAAAGTCTCGTTAACATTAGTTGCTGAGTGAAACGAAATGAGTCATAACATTAATTTGGTAATCAAAATTATCTGATGACCGTCTAGAAATCGAACGTCAACACCGATTATTGCCTTATCAGTGTTTTCAGCATGACAATTTATATCAGTTTGAGTCATAGACACCTCTTTATGTGATGCAATTTACATCATGACTTTTATGGAATAATATGCTTTGAAGTGACGCTTGAATAATTTTGACCAATAAATTTTTCCGGTATCAACTAATATAGACTGGTATCAACTGATAAATTTTATGATTGATATGTTAACACCGTTTTGAATGTGAAAAGGATATCCTCACGCAGTACACTTGTGCACATTGCAGCTACACAATTAGTGGCTAGAATGCTTTCAAGGTCACACACTCACTGCAACCGGGATCGCAGCTAACGAACTATCGCCAGTTTACACGCCATGAGGCAGCAGCTGCCCCGCTATTCGTCTATGTAAGTGCGAAGGCGTTAACAAACGTAACGACGCAAAAGAAAAAAAGATGACGTCACAAATATTCGTTTTCATATGAGGTTAGTTTTCAGATGTTCTTCTTGGTTGCCCTTACACTGAGAACTCTTCTGAAAGCAGCGGTCACTCACGGAGACGTAACAAAAGTCTCCGTTCACCATTCATGCCGGCAGGCAACTAGCGAACCAGGCATAGGAACCCTAGTTACCCTACAGGCAAGCAGCAGACCGGGCCTAGAGGATCGAATGGATTTTAGAATCAGGCAACCAGTAGTAGGCTAGTGTCCTGATTCAGTCTCTACAGTTTGCTGCTATTCGGCAAGCAGCGAACAGCCCTCGGCGTCTCTACAAGGTACGAAGGGACCAGACCAGCCAACTTAAATTAAAAGAAACAACCCGCACAGAAAACGCTAACAGCTACTAAGTCTGGGAACCAAATATTGCAACTAATTAGTCACACATGGAGGCCACGGCCTCTATACACAGTATGGAAACCGGCTCTCGATATTCAACAGGCAACCAACAATGCTCACTTTTTGACCAAATAGGCAACAAATAGACTTGGCGCAGGAACCCCTACAGGTGACTTAAGAATCCGTGCATAGGTTCAATAGACAATTAGCAGAAAAATCCAATTGTAGAGGAAGCCATGCTGTAAGGATTTCATTTATGTTACAAAATAGCGGGTATCCAGAATGATATGGATAGTAGGACAGCTGATCGGAGCTTACCACGAGCCAGGTATTTCATGTCCTGGTAGTTGACCATAAGACTCCAGTCTTTTCTGAAGTGTCTCTCTTCAGAGCGCCCTTCTTGACATATGCACTGTTAGATGTAATGTTGATTTTGTTGCTCATTAAATAAATGAGTGTTGAAACTACTGTGATCTATTCTCCTGAGGAACAGAAAGAAACAGCTGACTGGTAGAACTCTGTGAAATAATGACACATGCAGGTAAGTAGACTAAGCGTGATAATTTACGAGTATAAGGATACTCCAATGTCGTAAAATTTCTGCTGTAGTGCTCACATGCACATCGTATTCCGTACTATACGTAGTTTGTTCGAGTGAGTGACTTCGCTCTAGAATTAATTACACTAATTAGAATTGGCTGGGCTCTTGTACTTACAAGACCTAAACCTACTGTTCTCCTTGTAAGTATTTTGTAATTAGTTTCTGTCTATGCAAGTCCTTTCCATATGAATATATTCCCTTCAGTTTGTCATGTTACTACTTCTATAGTATAGTGTAATTTTGTTCCAGGATGTTGCGTTCTTGATGAATAAAGCCCTGAATGAGTTACCTCGGCTTCCGCTTATGACAGTGTTCGATCAGCAAACCAAATTTACGCTAACTTTTTTTATTTTATTTTTTTATGCAAGTTAGAATATGAATAGTATTGCAATACATGACAGATAATTTACCAGCCAATGAATTCTATAAATGCGAATGATTGATCTACGCATCAAGCAACTCTGGCATTGCTGATGTCGTGCCGAAATCGTGGCATTGCCGATTCTATGGAATTGGCAGCCGGTTTGACGAATCGGTAGAATCAGCATTTCGTTGGTGACTCAGAAAGTCGGATGTTAGCGTTAGAACATAAATCGACAGTTTTAGTTAGAACAGTTCAGAAAAGGTCAGGTTATGTTCGGTCAATTTCCTTCATATTTAAATATTTAAAAAATAACTTGGCTGACTGACTCAACCCAAGATTCATATAGTATTAAAATGCTGATTCTACAGATTCGGCATACTGCTGCCAAACCCAGAGAATCGGCAATTTCACGATTTCGGCACGACACAGACAACGCTCTAACAAGTTTGATTTGGACAGGTTCCACTTGGAGCCAAATAAGTCGTGATATATTCATTACATATCTTATTTTTACGAAGTCAACTGCACTTATGATAAGACGTGCGAAGACTGGCCAGACGTTGACAACACCTGATGCAGTGCACTGAGAAGCACATTGTAGATAAGTTTAAACTGACCTAGCAATATTAATGTCCTCTCGAGAATGGTTCCACTAGTCGTTGAATTGAATATCAATCAGAGAATTAATTGAATTTAGTTACATTTGGAGGGCATGATAAATCCATATAAAAATCAATTTTTTTGTGAAGCCGACAAAAAATTGATTTCTGATCCTCAGACGTGAAGACGCGATTCGATTACATCTGATTTTTTAGTTTGACCAGGCAACTCATATGATACGAAATTTAACCTTACATTCTTCCAACGACTTTATACCAATTATTTTTAGTCTACCATTACATGTACTTGTAACCGTCGGCAAACTGTTCACTATCGCGTATACAAGACCATATATATCCTCGAGAGAGCTGTATGTATGGAGGCCTATTTTCCTGGAGCAGTTTGTCCAATGGTCTAGGCATTTATAGTCAATTGATTCGCTTGTAAGTTGCGTATTTGAAATACAAAGTGAATATCTAGGTTTTTATTAGAGGAAGCGAATGCTCTTTCATCGCAACTTTGCAGTACAATACCACAAATAACCTCAACTCGATAGTTAGCATTCAGAATTCATAATTCAACTCATGGTTAAAATATTAATAAAACTCTCGTACAATCTCCATCAAACACTGTGTCCAGGCTCTGCAGCAGCTGGTGGGTTGCCGTAATTTATTCATTACTATTTTGCAAGCGGTAATCTTGCTTTTTTAAGCCGTTTTGGCGACGGTGTAACTATATATATGTGCTTGCTGATGTGAACAGCCGTAACTTTTATTCAAGACAACAAATTAAATCACAAATGAGCTGCTTTTGAAATTGACTTATAAATAAATTCAAAGGTGAGGCATGTTTGTGAAAATGTATGAATTTCCTCTTCATATATTTTATCATGCATAAAATCTTAATGGAGTGTCAAAAGTAATATGACTATTTTGAAAAGGAATGATGTGCATACAGATCTTATTATATTATCGCAGCAACTGGGTCTTTCAAAACGTTGATCGGGTTACTTAGACTAATTGGTAGCATTATTTGATTCAAATAAATTTTAATGATGACAGCGGAAAATAAGAATGAGCACGAAGAGAATGATTGAATAATTTTAACTTCTCTATTTTCTCGCTGAAATGAATTTATTTGTAGCTTTTATCAACGTGATGTACGAGTCATGACAACAATAGAGAAGCAGACAAAAAGACGTTGACAATTTTGCGTAGTCGCAATGTTTTCAAAATTACTGTCGTCTACCATTTTTCTTTAATCCTATCGAATTTTTGACGAGATTTGATTCAAATACGTTCGAAAAGGCTTACATGGCGATGCTTTCACTTCAGTTTGCTTAAATTACGTATTTTCCCTCTAGCTAAGAAATGAAGCAAAAAGTGAAGTAATTTTGAAATGAAAACTTTTAACAGTACCGAAGTAGTTTTAATCGAATTAATAGTCATGGTATTCCCCTCACTGATGTTGCAAAAATATATTCGTTCCATTACCCTTCCATTACCCTTTAAAGGTATAAATACATTATGCCATAAATTAGAATGAAACTCTTAATAAAAAGATAAATTTTTGCTTTCAGGTACAATGCATCACCAATAATGATTACTAATCTTGATTATTTGTTACATTTTATATTTAAAAATTAGGGTAACATGGGGCAGCGAGCCCACTGCGGGTCACGGGCCCATAGCGGGTTTCTCGCTAAGTATGGCAGATATTGGTCCGTGTTCTCTACCGCCGGTCGACAGTTTCACTGGGATGAAGTGTACGGATTTGCGTTTTGCTAAATGTTTGCGTTATTAAGTTCTTTGCGAATAACTGTTTTAGTCCAGATAAAATTTTTTTTGCCGCTAAATAAAGTTTTTTTCCATTACTATAGATGAAGATTTTGAAATTACTTTGAATTATTTTTTCAAAGTAATATTTAATCTATAGGCGTCTAATTCACATCATACATTCCTCATTAGTTTCACCTTTAAACAAAACAAAGAACCACCTCGTATCAATTAAAACTTCATCAAAAATTTAGTTTAAAAAAAGTGGGGGGCGCGCTGCCCCACGTTGCCCGACCTTTTTTACCTTAATGTCTTTGTTGAACCATAAATTTAATTTTTATTTTTTATTTTTAAGAAGGAGAATCATTTAGAGATTATAAATACAGAAACATATAAGATAAGCATAATTGGTTAGAAGTTAATTTGGATATTATAGCCATATGGATGATAGATCCAAATAGATTATTCAATCGACGAAGCCCAAATTTCTTTCAACTTGAATTATGTTTGTTCGAAAGCTGAAAAATGTTGCAAATTTTCTCAAGTTACAA